GTTTTTTTGATATCCCCTTCTTGTTTTACAAGTCTGTTGTATAGTTTGGACTAGCAAAAAATAAGGGATCAAACAAACAAAGTGGAAAAAATGAACAGCAATAGAGAGAGGAACATTGTGCTTTTTTCAGGTTGGTTAAGAAAAAAGTGTACTGCTCATCTGAGAAGCCAAAAAGGATGATGCACTACTAGGAGAACTTTGCTTTTCAACTGAAATGATCCCAGCACCACAAAAGAGTTGACCAGCTTCAAAAGGCACAAAGTAAAAATGTATAATAGATGGTTATTTTTGATGGTTTCTGGTTTAACCCCAGCCATCAACCAAGCCCCATGCAGCTGGTCACTCACTCCCCCATCAATGGGATCAGAGAGAGAATGGGAAGTGTAAAAGCTAGAAAAACTTGTGGGTTAAGATAAAGGCAGTTTGATAGAAAAAGTAAAAGCTGCACACATAAGCAAAGCAAAACAAGGGATTAATTCAGTGCTTCTCATGGGCAGGCAGATGTTCAGCCATCTCCAAGAGAGCTGGGCCCCATCACATGTAATAGTGACTTGGAAAGACAAACACCATCCCTCCAAACATCCCCCCTCTTCATCCTTCTTCCTTCCAGTTTATATACTGAGCATGATGTCAGATGGTCTGGAATGTCCCTTTGGTCAGTTTGGGTCACCTGTCCTGGTTGCATCTCATCCCAATCTCCCATGCATCCTAAACTTCCTGTCCAGCAGTAGGAAAAGCAGAAAAAGTCTCGGCTCAGTGTAAGCCCAGGTCAGCAATAACTAAACGTCTCTGTATTGTCAACCATGTAGTCAGCACAAATCCAAAACACAGCCCCACACCACCCACTGTGAAGAAAATTAACTCTACACCACCCAAAACCAGCACAGGGCAGATTGTCTCAAGCTGCCTGTGCTACCTGACCTGGTATTTGTGTTGCCACATCAAGGCACTTGTGATTTATCTGCTGGTGTTTGCATTTCGGCCAGCAGCCTGTGCTCTGGCTGCTTGCCAGTCCTTCCTGCCAGTCCTGCCTGCCACTGCCAAAGGCAACATCCTGCCTTTCTCAGAAGGACCCCTGTAGAAACAAGGCATTGCTGCAGAAGTGGGCAAACGGTTAGAGGAGGAAAGATCAAGAGGGGTGAGCTGGTCCATCAGTCCATACTGAAGGAGCTGTGTGCTTTACTGGGACTATATTTTTAGAACCCAGTTCTCTGCCCTAAGGAAAGCAGCCTCTTGTTCATTAGTAAGTGTAAGTGCATTTGTGAGTGTACAATGGACAGATTTCTTTCCTCATATGATAGCAGACAACAGTCAGATAAACTCATAGGTTCACATTGCAAGGATCTTGCATAGTTTTCACTTCTCTGTACTTTGCTGCAAGGTTTGTCTATGTTTTGTTTGCCTTTGTTACATTGAGTGTAGGGTTTTGAGCCTCCTTAGCATAAAGTGTGAACAAATTCAGTGGATAAATCAGTCTGAGTACTGGAGCTGTATCAAGTTGTGCATCTTAAAATAGCAGTCCCATTGAATACATCTATGAATAAGCAGCTCTCACAAGCATAAGCTGCATTTGCTGTGTTCTAGAAGTGTAGGACCCAGCTGAAATCAGAAGGCAATGTCAGACTTTACTGAAGGAGCTTCTAGAAAAAATATGTTTGGAAGGACAGTCAATTGGAGTCACTTGGTCAGTGAAATTGTTTGGTCAGGAGATACTCAGCCAGCTTAAGAGTCATTAAGCAGGGAGGGAAGGCTGATCTTGCCACTCTGAAGGGCCTGAAGCTTTTCCAAATTATGCAGAGTTAGTTAAGGACTCTCGTTCTCAGCTTTCATAGTTCATCAGTGAGTCTTTGTTGTAATAGAGAAGTGGTGGAAAGATGATGGGAACATGAGGGAGTTACCAAATAAAAGCAATGTTAAAACAAGTGTGTGTATATATATATATACATATTTAAAATCCTAATGCACAAATACACATATATATTTATATATGCTTATATGTGCTGGAATTTTGCGGTGTTAGCTTCTGACAGATACAGAGATCAATAAAATGTGTCACTGCTCTTTCAGACTGCACACATTGCAGAGCTTATTGGTGCTAATATTCCTATAAAGATACTCCTCTGCATGCAAGACATTGCAGTACGCTTGACCAACTGACTATGACATTATCTCGGAAGGCATGACCAGGTAAATCTGCAATTATCTCTGGAAGTATTGTTACGTTAAAGCTGAAATACAAGATACATGTCACCTTTAATTCCAGCTCCTAACAATGGGTGTAGATCCGTTTGGACTGTGGAACTGTGTCATTTAAGGTGTATTCCACTGTGTGGTTGGCTCATCTAAACATCACAATTTGTCCCTATGTTCCGTTATCTTCCTACAATGTGATCAGTGCCAGCTGCACTGATAGCCTCCTGGAATTTTTTCATGACAGAGTAGCTTTTCTTTTTCTTGCTGTCTTTCCAGGCAAACTAAGATGTTTTTAAGGTCAGAACTGCTAGAGCTACACTATATATATATGTATATATGTAAAATTACATATATATGTGTGTGTGTAGCATTCTTGTCATGAGATGTTGACACTGAGATACTCAGTAATGTTTTTCTCAACTGACCTTTCCATGCTATGTTTTTAGTCAATAAATGTGACAAAGCTTTCTTGAAGACAAAGCAGAAAGCAGGGACAGGTGGCTTGTTAGCATCCCTCCTCTGTGCCTTCTGCTGCTATTGCTTTTGGCATCTTCTTGCTACAGTCAGGAGCTAAAAAACCTTCACACTGTCCTGCAAAGGAAAAGGCTAGCGGGGAAAGAAAAAGAAACAAAGTAGAGGCAGCAGATTCAGGGGTCACTGACTGTCCAAGCACTCAGGGAATAAAGGACTCATTTACACCAGGGAGAAGCAGTCAGGAGATGAGAGAAATGGAGACAAGGCATCCAATGGATGGAGCAAGGAAAAAAGGTAGATGTGTAAAATACACCAAAGTAACTGGTTACTGATTTCATTGCTATGGCATTCGAGTATATATAAAATGTCATCTCTATAAGGAGAATTAGGGTCTATGCAGCAAAACCACTGGGAACTTATGGTAAAATGGTACATTGACTTTATATTCTTGCAGTTGTCTATCATTTCTTCATCAGCTGTGCTAATTATTTGCAGTGCTTGAACCGATTCACTGTTTTTTGGGGTCTTATCCTGTAACTGCCATGCATCACAAGCAAACTCTAACCCATTGGGGATAGCTTTGTCTCTCTAAATTTAAAAGTGTTTACTCAGTTCCTGCAATTTGAGATTTGGAGACAAGCCTGCAAGTTCCAGATGCTACATTGTTAGCAAAATCCTTTAGAGGGTATTTTAGGTGAAACTTGGACATGTTGACAGAGCGTATATCTTTTCAGATCTTCAAAGAATTCAAGTTAAAAGGGACATCAAATTTGTCAGCTAGGTAGAAGTGTGGTTCCTCATTAGCAACTGAGAAAAATGACACCTCAGTCTTTTCATAGCTGGTCTTAAGGTTTGACTGTGTGTGAGGCAGTAGAAAATAAAATGAAAATATTTGCTTTAAACCCTTATTTTTGTTTTTTTTTTTTTAATTATTGCCTGTGAAGACTGACATGAAAGCAGACAGAGCTATCTGAGCAGTGTTTACTCAGTCTCGTGATTGCATACTTGCAAATATGCATGTCTGTCTAAGAAGGATTCACGAAACTCACTAAAACTTTCCCAGGCAGGACATAGAAAGGGATTCTCTGAAGTGTCAAAGAGCTGTGATGTGGAGAATTTCCTCCTCATGATACAGTCAGGTCTTACTGGACGGTGCTATGGAGGGAACCTCTATGTAGAGTACATTGCAGATATGGATTTATTGATGAGAGGGAACGTGGCAGATATTTAAGATACTCAAAGCACCACACAACTTCCCAGCTCTCCTCTCCCTGGGAGATCACTACACTCACATGATCTGTGTAAGAACTAATGTGCTGGTAAGTTACTTTCGATTAACTTGCTCTCTCCAATAAATGTTGACCATTTAAGAAAAGTAAATGCCTTATTAACACAGTAGAATGTATTGATATGTAATCTGACTTCAGTAGTCCCCTTAAGTCTGGGTGAAGAGTACAGAATCTTCCTACACCGTGCCAACATTAATGGGTTGCACAACCATGATTGCTAAGATAAAATAACTTATTCCTATTTGTTCAATTGTTCAATTTTAAAACGCGCAGATTTCAAGGAGTGAAAGGTTTCACAAGCAAAGCAGCAGATTGCACAAGTAAGGCGACAGGAGGGTGTAAAGTATGTCTTCTACTTAAAATTCTATTTGCTACTAATCACTATGTGGTAACCATCAGTTTACGCCTCTAAACCGTTGCCCTGATGGAATTCCTCCATTCTCCTTGCATGGGACATCCCCGAGCATGCGACCTGTCTCCCAGGGTGGCATATATTCTGCAAAGCACCCTTGCCCCATGCAGTCCTTCCTCTGCCTGCCACAGATCCAGCAGATCATTACCAATCACACCAACTTTTACCAATTGCAGCGATGATGGTAGCTAATGATTATCAGAGGACTGCAACGCAAGATTCTGCGTGAGTTATGCTCGCTAGACTCCTGCAAAGGATGACACTAAAGCGTCCCTATGGTGCTGACAGCTGACATCAGCAGTGCCGGTGGGACACAGCGGGCTGATGTTCCCAGGTGGCGTCGGCGGCGTGGCACCCCGGGACACCGATCACTGCACTACAGATCCCAGGGTGCCACGCGCCCGCGCCCCGCCCCCGCCAGCGCACGGGCCCCGCGGAACCCGCCGGGAATTGTAGTCTGCAGAGGCGGGCGGGGGCTCTGCCAGCGCGGCTCCCGCCTGCCAGCCCGGGGCCAGCTGCCCTCCGCGGATCCGCCGAGGCGGCGAGGTGGGTATATCCCGCGGCGCCGGGCGCTGCCTCCCCGCCCAGCAGCCGGGAGCCCGCCGAGCAGGAGGCAGCCGGCGGGGCAGAGCGGCGGCACTGCCTGGCGGAGCACCATGCTGAAGTCCATCTGTGTCACTGGTGAGTAGCGGGAGCGGAGGCGGCGCGGTTCCCGCCGCGCCCGGGGCGGCCAGCGGGCCTCCAGCTTTTCCCTGCCGAGCGAGGAAGCATCGCCAGGGCGACGCCGCGGGTGTCCATGGGGTGTCACCTGGTCCCTGGGGACGGGGGAGGGCGCTCCACACCTGCCTGGCTCCAAGAGCGGGAGCCCCCGCGGTGAGTGGGCAGTGAGTCATCTGCGGGCCCTGACCCTGCCCCGGGACTCTGGGGAGTGCGGAGGTGACACCGGCTCCGCTGGAGAGAGGAACAGACCATGCAAGGAAGAATGCCAAACTATTGTTGATTATATCTGGCGTCTTACATGCTTTGACTCTACCCTTTGCTGTGTTCTCAGAGAAGTTAACAAATCCTTATGTGCGTATAAAAATCAGTATTATGACTATATAATGATAATATAGACGTATACTAATAATATAACTTGGTGCCCCACAAAACTGTCTTCTTATGCTGTGTACATGTGGAACGCAGAAAAACCTACAATACAGTTGCTGCTTGAAAGTAGATGGTTTCCTTGTTTAAATTGGACATCCTTTCATGTGCTTCAGCTGCTCAAGCCAATGTTGCTTTTCCATGGGGAAATCTATAAGAAATCTGCTGGAAGTGTCTTAGTGTGCCCTCATTCAATATCCTTGTAATCATAACTAAGATCTCTTACAGCTGCTCTTTCTCTGCATAATTGAAATGCTGTTCTATCTGTGCATGGATATGACTAGAGTGTTACTTCTGATAATGGGAAAAGAAATAAAGTTCATGGGATCGATCAGAGCATCCCTGGAGATGTGCGATAGCCTCTGCAATCTTAAAGGATGAGATTTTGTGAAAAACAGTTATTTTGAGTCCATATCCCTTCATCAAATATTTCTGACTGAACCTATGCTGCAGTAGAACAAGCTAGAGACCTGCTTGGATGAGAGTTTCATCCTGTGCAGGTCTGCCTATAAATCAGTGTTCTGTGATTATATCTTGAGTTTATTACATCAGTGGGAGTTTGTTGCTTGATTTCATTAGAGCCAAGTCTTCACTTTTACTGATTATTACTGTGCCCATGTAATTTAATTTGAAGGGCCTGAATTTGAAATCAGTTACATAATACTCTATTTCAAAATAGAAGTAAATGTGAGGAAAATACTTGCAAGTCAGTCCATACCTTTTCTTTTCTTAAGGTAGAAAGAGTGCATCTCAAATAGCATTGTCATTTTAAAGAACAAAATCCAGACTGCCAATCAGCCCTAAAAACGCAGTTACTTACAAACACTGGCAGCTAATGAATCAGAAATACAAGTTAGCTGATAGCTGAAATCTGCCCTTGGTTTTGAAGCTCAGAATTAAAAGCTGGATGACAGATAACAGCTTTACAGGAGAAAAGTAAATAGGTGGATTTTTTGGGAGGAAATAGTCTTAGGTTAAATGTAAAAGTTCCCAATATCATACAGGCTCTAGTTAATAACTAGGGTTCTTGAGAAAATAGAAAGTAACTCAATGTCAGTGTTTTTACAGAAACTCATTGCCTAATTCTGCTGTTAAACCATGTTCAGTCATTATAGACAGAGCTTCCAGTGCATTCTAGTTCAAGTTGCCTGACAGGTTCGGTTCAAAACTAGAGTGTTTTTAAACTTTAAAGGTGTTTCCAGTGGTGAGGAAATAGAATATAGGATGGTGGTCAGATTCTGTTATGTCATGAATACAAGCCTGTAGTGTTTGAGAGGGCGTGGAACATTACAGATTCATATGCAACACTTTATGTTGCCTGCTTTTATTCAGAATATTCTTTCTATAGCCCTCTGCACACACGAACCAAACAGTCTAGAGCCCATAAACTACAAGGTGCTGTGAATCTATTCAAATTGTCTGAATATTGGAGATACAATTACATTACAAAGAAATGTTTATCTTTGCACAGTATGTCAAAGGAAGAATCTTACTTGTCACATCTGTGTAGTTCCTTCTCATCTCACAGTTTCAAATTTAACTATTGCTTGTAGACAGATCACATACATTATTTGCATTCCTATACATTTGAAAATTCAAGTCAGCCTTGAAATGATTTCTGATTTTGAGTAAAAAGAAATTCAGTCGTATTCTAACATGGTAATGGTAATCTGAAAAACAAAAGTAGTGGCTCAGACCATTACATCCCTAGGAGAGGAGGAAGTGCTCCATGGACATGTTTGCTAAGCACCTTACGTGCAGTTTGGACAGGATTTGTTCATTGTGCATATGTAGCCTGAGTGATAGTTGCCTGAAAACTGCAGGAGCTCACTGGTGCTTTAGAGCAAGGCTAGCCAGACACAGATATCCGTGCTCACAAATACCTGTCATTAACCTCATTCCACCTATGGAACTGGTATTTAAGAAACTGCTTGGATAGTAGCTGCCCTGTAGCCTAGAGGAAGGTATTATTTATACAACACTCTCCAAAGGCTGGAAAAATGCTTACACTGGGATTTTACCATGCATGTTATTGACATACTAGCTCAATCCATCAGTTTCTAAAGGACAAAGACCAATAATATAACCTGATTTCTGAATATAACATAAAATCTAACAATTTTCTAACAAATAACCTGTAACAAGATTAGGGAGTGTCTGCAGTGGTACAGGGTTCAAAGCTAGTGACCGGGATGCAATTTATACATGGAAAGTGTTTCATTAGTGCAGAATTGTCATGAAATTTGTGGTTCCCATGTATTCTCTGTTAGCACTTATGGACTCCATCCCTTTTCCAGTACTGCTGTGACACTGGAATAGCTACCTGCATAAATGGAATGTACAGATAAAACTCCTCTTTTTGCAAAATCAAGCCTGTGGTATTTTGAATTGTTCTGTGACACATAGTAAACTTGTCTGCAGGATGGAGTAAGTGCAGTACTGCCAATTCCAACTGATGTCTTGACAATGATGGGATTTTGGCTAGGGCGCAACCTGCTGTCTTGTGGGATTCTTCAGACTCACAGGGGTAGCTACCTTTGGCTGGCTGGCTGGCTGCCCTGCTAGCCCAGCTTATGGGACAGCAGATGCCGAACACCATGGCACTAAAGAGGGGTGGAGCTCTACTCTGGCCCAAGACATACCAAGTTGCCGTTAACAGGAGGGTGTTCTGTTTTTTGGTACCCTAATTATGACTAAATGGGGACAGGCAGCTCTTCTTTCCTCTCCTTGCTTATGTCTACATTACCTTGCGCTCCAAATGTGGTAGATTGTTTCATGTAACAATTCACCTGTACCTCTAGGACCATGTTTTTACTAATGTGTTGTTGCAGAAAGGAACAAGATATAAATAAATGGAAGTAAATGTGATGGAGAATCTTTTAGGGAGAGATTGTATTAGTTTTGTTGTGGGTTTTGGGGGTTTTTTTTAGTTGCTGAAGGACTTGTGGCTTTGTGACTGTTGAGTGTTTGGAAGTGAAAACGATGAAAAGAATCTTTGTACATAAATTTCACGAGGGAGATTCTCAAAAGTAACTGGAGCCCCGGGCATATGTTCTTTGACAGTTTTCTACTGCAGAAACAGAAATAAGTCAAGTCAGGAAATTCAGGTTTGTACTTCTCAGAACACATGTAGCACATGTGAATGAGATACAAAAGATAAAACCTATAGGATCAGTAGTGTGGTATCTGTATCCTGGTGTGCAGGGTAGTGTTAAACCATAGCATGGTGGTTTTCAATCTGCCGTTTTCATATCTTTTAGAAGTAATCTCTAGTCATCTGTCCAATGGTATCCAGAATTTAAAAACTGGAAATCACTGCTAAGCAATCCATGCAATTAATCTGTGTTGATAATCCATTCCAACTGGCTACTTTATAACAGCATGATATTACAGTACTTTTTGAATCACTGAAACAGGTTTTCAGGAGGCAGGCTGTGCAATGAATTTGTTTTATATTCAGAATACTAGACCTCTTTTTCAATCACCAGGCATTGCTAATCATTGGAAACTCTTGGATATAGTAAGACAACTTTCCTAAAAGACAGTATATTCTTTATTTGGTTGATGCTGCATTTACAGATATGAGTTTGAAATATCTGTTACAGCTTAAACAAATGTGCTAGAGAATGAACTTTGAAATTGGTGCTTCGCAGCATGATTTTGACATAGTCAAAATATATTATTTTGTAATCTATTTGGTAGTGATGTTTAGAAGACCTATATAGAATTTTAGAACAGTTAAATGTTAAAAGTTAAATTACTTCTGTGAAAACTGCTTTGTTATCTATTATAATATTTCAAATGTGCCAGGTTACCTGTTGATTCTAGGTTTCCAGCACAAATAGGCATGAAACAGTACCCTATAGTCAGAAGAAATTAAAGACAGCCACACTTAGTTTGGCAGCTGAGAAATCACTTTGCTACAAGATTGCACTTATAAAGTAATTACAGATTGGGAACAACTATTTTTGATATCAGCCATGTGCATGTGAAACCTGCCAGTGCATGTTCAGCACTCAACCACCATTTGTGACATTTTCAGGAGAATTTTGATTTATGGCATGCAGCGATTGTCTAGATATAAAAGCATTTATGACTGACCAACTGTACCTCTTTGCTATAACTTGCTGTGTTGAGTTTTTGGTATTAGATTGATTGAAACAAGCATTGCAGAAGGGAGAGAATGGGTGGATTAAGGTCATTTAAGGTCGTTTCCTTGAATAAAATTTCTGGGTTTTTTTCTTTTGTATTCATCACTTCTTAGATACATGTGTGATATTAGTTTTAACTGTTCCATTATAGCAGCAATTAAAGGCTTTTATATTCTTTGTAGCTTTTAAGAGCTGGTTAGTAGAGAAAGTGAAGTGTTAATGCCTCTAATTGCATGTTTTTTTCTTTGTCTATATTTTAAGAAGTAGCTGTGTAATTTCCAACTCCAATTTTGTCTACTTAAGCAAAGTCATGTGCTCAGAAATTTAATACGTGTTCAGACATTCTGGAAACCTTAATTTTCACTTACCCTTCTTAAAAGTAAGAGTTCTCTTTAGTAGTTGATACAGGTCTGAAGTCAATTTCAAATATTTGCCCAGAAGTATGAGAGTGTTCATCCTATCCTATTGTCCAAAAAATGTGTCTCTTACGTATTTAGTTTGATGTTGTTCTAGTGGTGGGGAACTGTGGTTTCTCATCATGACAGCTCCTGGGAAAGCAAGATAAGCCATATAGGTAGGTTGTTGCGTATGTGATGAGAATGATGTGACAGAATTTGAACAGGAATGGCAAGGAATATATTCCTGTGCCAAGCATAAAAAGGGAAATCACAAGCTTACCATGGAAGAAAACTGATTTTGCATAGGATACACATGCTTTAGTGAAAGGTAACAATCTGATGCTTCTATCTCTCTTCTTTCCGGTGGAGAAAACAGCCAGGCTGTAGATCACCCAGCATATGTTCATGCGAATAGGACCTCTGGTCTTTTTGTTTTTTAGGACAGGATGTTCGGGAGAACTGAGGAACACTGGTTGATATGGAACTGACAAAGGTCCAACACCATGAAATACATTATTATGGTGCTTATGTTGGGAGTAAAACCAAATTTTACTTGAAAATAAAACTGAATTTAAGCCACTGTTAATTCTTTTCTGCCTTGCAGGCATTTAATGATCTCTTGCTACTGTTTCATTTAGGGTATAATTACTGTATGTGAAGTAATTACAGCTTATCTATGTATAACTGTGGAACTGCAGGTTTTAATCATGCTTCAGGCATATCTCCTCTTCTGTAAACCCTTTTATTTTAGGTACCTAGAAGTAGGTAACATTTCTCTGTGGCACAATTTATTTGTACCAATAGTTTCAGCTGATCTAAAGTTCTAGGAGGAACTGGTTGTTGAGAAAATGGGATGGTTGGAACCAGTGAAGCAAGGTCACTTCTCTCTAATAAGCCAGCACAAAGTCAGTTAAATTCAGTTTTAATCCTCAATTATTTTTCCATGCAGCTGCTCTGCACCAGGGACCAGTCTCCCTCGAAGGCAATGCCAGGGGTGAGAGCAATGAAGGAGGGTTCATTCATTAAAGAGACTTTATTTGCTTCTTGCACTTAGTTTGGTTTACAATATTTCTTTTCAAGTGTTTTATTTAAGTCAGCTGTTACTGTAGAACACCTTTGATTAGATGAAATACCCAATATTGTCTTAAGGCTTTTCAGGAGTGTAACTAGCTGATCTCTCTCGCCTCTTTAAATATAGCTTATTGTCTGCATTAACGTGAAACTGAAGTCTTTTAAACGTACATTACTATCCATATGCTGTTGTAAATTGTACACAGTGGGTGACCCTTGCCAATGTTCTCACCCTTTTGTGAGAGTAAATTCCGTAAATCAGATTTTGCAGATAAGATCATACCAGACTGGTTGTATCCAAGCACGGATCCCTGTGGAAAACACCGTAAACACTACTTAAATGCTTCTATACAGTTCCTGGTTTTTTAGTTTTTAGTTTTTCTTATCCTTACAGAAAGCCTGCTTTGCCTGATAAAGATCAATCAGCTCAAAACTATACATTTATTAATATAGCACTAAATGTTTGTGAAGTCCTGCAGAGTCTTTTTTTAAATAACTAAGTTCTTAGCTGCCAGCAGTGTAGTTGTGCATGGAGATGCAAGCATAAAATACTTGTTCATCTCGATCTTACAAGTGCCAGTCTAATTGTTCAAATGTGATACACACACTCAGTTCTCCCCTATGCCTAGAAGTCACGATAAATGTGACGTGACTGCATTTAAGACATTTTGTGTGTCCTTTATGTTGCAGTTTTGAGTCCTTAAGATTAGTATCACTGTGTGAAAATCAGGCGTGTCCTCATTATTTTCTTTTTTTCCCCCCTAAATGCAGAAAAACTTCACTGGCCTAAGACAGAGCTTTCTAGGAAATCGGTCCTGAATCTGGAAGTAGATAAGCTGAACATTAATAATGAAAACAGCCTTCAGCATCCACCTTCTGGGATCCTTAAGGACATTTTCACAACAGGAACCAGTAGCTACAATGTCCTTCTGCAGAGCAAAGAGGAGAAAAAGCACCACGCTCAAAAGCCATCGTCCGTCCACCACAAGAAACACAGGAGGACCACCAAGTGCTCCTGCAGCTCGCGAGGCAGCGAGCACCGCCGGGCGAAGGCTCCGCTCTCCTTGCTGGGCGGGCGGTGCTGCGGGCCCCGGCAGCCGCCCCCGCTCGGCGCCGACCCCGCGGCCGCGGGCCTCAGGCTCGCCAGCCGCGCCCCGGCCGCGGGCAGCGCCGCCGCGCTGCCGCCGCGGCCCAGGAGCAGGACTAAAAAGCACTCCAGTCTCACCAAGCCAAAGCAGTCCCAGTCCTCAAAAAGCCTTGGGAAGGATGGTGATGCCGCTGGACAAAAGCTCTGTTTACTGACTGCAATCAAGCCGTCCAATGTGGAGAAAGAGAAGGTTAAATTTTTCAACTCCGATTTCACGTACAATCCTCAGTTTGAATACGAAAACCCTGCTCTGCCAAATGTGTTAGCTAAGCACAGCCATGCATCTGACAGATTTCTTAAGCAGGTATAGTTACTTTTATTCCCCTCCATTTCCAGTGGTTATTTCTTCGTACACCTACGTGGTATTTGGCTTTGTTTGTAGCAAGTAATTTTTCCTTGTTCTCCCCTGCTGTTTGAAAAATGTATCTAAGATGAGAATAGTAGCAGCACTAGTAGAACTGAAATAATATATTTTTTAATTAAAAAAATTAAAACCTTTCTAAAATTTACAGGATTTTAAAGGATAAAGGCACAGTTTCTTCCTAATGGGTTTACATGAAACATAATTTAAAGCAAGAAAGTTTTTTAGGCCATGAAGCAGGGTCCAGTACAGGAAAAATACAGTGCCTAAACAGCATAGAAATCCTGCCAATCTTCTTGGTGACACAGGGACTGGGAGAGGACAGTAGTCGTTTGAGGTCATCATTGTTGGATGAGCACATTTTGGTCTTCCTTGTTTTAATCAGCTTTGAAAGGGTATTTGAATATCCATTAGACTCAATCAAGCAGCAGCCAAATTCCATTCCAGAGAGAGGTAAATTTTAAGAAGACAATTTTGGTTTTTCATAACATGCAGCCACATCGGTAACATAGCTACAGACATTCTCATTCTCTGTAACTGCCTTGGCTTCCTACCTGAGTTATAAAAAAACCTAAACAACAAAAGCCTTGCTTTCAACTTTGACCTAAGTGGCAAAACCCAGTGCTTATCTGTACAGTAGCAGAAGCAGTATTCTTCCTACTTCTGCTTTTGTTAAATGGTTTAGAAGATTTTTTAATTTAAAATGGTTTAGCTCTTATTTAAGTCTGACAAGCTTTTCTAAACAGAGACTCTTACGTTTTCAAGTTTCCTTTAACTTGGGAAGACATCCTGCCATTCCATGAGTTTCACTTCTTTGTGATGTGAATATTGCACTTAAACCTAAAATTCCTGGTGGGAAAGGTACATGAATTAAAAGAACTAGAGATTATGGGAACTGATCCCTGACTTGTGAACAGACGGATTTTTTTTTTTTTTTCTAAACACAAGAATGCACAAAAGTGCTATTGCCCATTACATCATTGTATTGATAGTCTCCATTTTCACACTGAAAATACCTGTATATTTTAACAACTCAGTTTCTGGGTTTTCATTAAAAAATTATTTGCTTAATGAGAAAAGGGAACAGCTGTTCTATTCTTAAAATCTTCTCCATACTTCCAAACAATGAACTAAGTTGTAATGACACCAAATAAAACTGCTCCTCGAGTAGAGCTTTTTAATAGGTTTTCCTTTGATTTTTTTTAGCAATATTAGCAACATAGCTGACAGCAAATCAACAACTACTGATTTGACAAACCAAATTTAATACAAATTATCCCTTTTAGTGTGGACTAGCAGAGCATTAAAAGTCCTTTTATGTATGATGATTTACTGGTGCAAGCCTGTCTTTGGTTTACGCTTCTTTTAATAAAATCTCCTAAGCCTAAATACTGAAAATTTTAACGAGTGATTCCTTAATATTATTCTGATTTGTAACTCTACCTTTTTCCCTGTTCATAAAAAGTATGGGAAAATAAAGGCTCTGTAACAGCTTTATGAAAAGAAGCGAAGGATTTAATAATCAAGGAAGTATAATATTTTTGACAATTAACGAGGAAGATGAAAATTGTTTCACAAGACTTAGTTTGAGTCACTAGAAAAGCATATATTCAAAGTTCAGCTCTTAAAAATACCTAACAAGAATGCCTTGCACTTAAAAATGCCCAAACCAGCAGCTTTAACAGCCCCAAGCCCAGCAGGTGTCACTCTCTCTCTTATTTACAACTGGCTTTAGAAATTTTCATCTCCATGCAAATTTGAATTTAATTTCATGCAAATGTACTATCTGGAAAAAGCAGCATTAATCAAAATTTTAATCAGCAACTAGTGTAGGAGCACTTGCTTTTCCTCACTGCTATTTTTTTTTCCACACAGATTTTACTTGTCAGAAGAAATATGTAGGTATCTCACAGGAAGTTAAGTTCAGAAATGATGACTTCAGTTGCAAAAAATGTACTCAGTATCAAGAGCTGGTCTGCAGTAAAAATGCAACTGTATGTAGTTATCCTACATTGAACCTACAAGAAGGTTCAATTCAGTTTTGTTAGGGTTTTTTTGAAGTGTATTTGGCTTCTGTTTATTGCTCTGCTTATTTTAGAAAGCCTTGGTAACTGTGAACGGAGTTATTGCTGTTTTTTCCTACAGAAGGTGCTCATGGCAAGTTACTCTTGCTTGCTCTTTTATGAGTAAAAACCTATAAACTCAGCTTTTAGTGACTGAACCCACCATTTTTAGGGGGCTTTTAGGATACTTAAGTGAAATGAGCTCAAAACCTGACATTTCAGAATTTTAGAGAATTTTTCAGTCATGTCAAAAATCTTTTTACCCACAACTATGCATAGCCTGCTAGGACATTAAAACAGATTGTGTTTTCTTACTGCCCTTCCTGCATTTGTGCATATCTATGAAATTGGTTAATAGAGCATTACTGAAATATGTCTAGAAGACAAATCACACCCTGCCCCATTTATTTATTTTTTTACAGGCAAAGAGCATTGAAGATTTGCAAATCATTAACTCAGCAATGCTGCAATGGGGAGCACACAGGCTTGTGAACACCCACTTTAACCCATGCCTCTACTTAAATCAAAGCTTTTAAATCTTGGGCACAGCCCAACACTTTTACTGATTGATTTTTCACTGACATAGAGAACACATTTTTAAGTTATTGCGCCTTTGAAAAATGCTAATTTTTGTTGTCTTTCTTCTCATACTGTGTTCTGTTTGTTTCTCCCTACTTTATGATGTTTTCTTCATAATAAGGTTTTTTCATGAGTCACACAGTATGGTGCCTTTAGGGAAGTAAACTGGAGAACAGAAAATATAATGCATATTTACACTCTTCACATTGATTAACATATCTGATATTACAGAATTTATTTATCTTACAACTGTATTTCAGGGTCACTGCAGCAGCTCTGTGCTCTAAAAGTCTTCTGGCTCAAACTACTTATCCCTCATTGTGAAGTTTCTTAGCACTCAAAGCGTTGGTTATTTTTGTTCAGATGCTAGAGGTGGCAATATTTGCGTAGAAATAATTGTTCCCAGTGTTTGCAGAGCAGATGAACTCAACAGTTGCAATTTGCTGAACCAAAATCAGCAAGTTGCAATTTTAGGTAACCTGTTTCTTTAAATTGTACAAGGCAGTAAGAATTCTATATTTCTATATATATTATACATTCTATTTCTATATACATTAACAAAACGGCAAAAAATTCCCAACCATTTAGTTGAATGAGTGATCCCCCCAGGAAAGAGTTATACATCCTTTTCTCTTGTACTTATAAGAGTATAGCAATTTTGAGTTCATAAATAAACCAGTTATATCACATTGTGTGTGACACCTTTTAAGGCAATAGTAAAAGTAGCCTACAATTAGCAAATTTATCAGATGTTGGGAAAAAATTTAGGTGGAGCTGGAAGGCTAAACAACATGGCATTCAACACTGAGTAATCCTTTGCTATGTGCAAGTGATGTCACAGATTAGGCATGTGGAAGATTCAAGAACATGACACTGTCTGTAAAAAGCACTTCATTGTAAAACACTTCATTCTCCAGTAGTAACAAATTCTCTTGTTAACTAAGATTTATAGATAAGGTGGGCTGATACATAACACAAAGCATATCAGGCCATCCAAGTGGCACAGGTTCTCAGGGTCTGACACAAATGTATCTCTTCCCCTAGAAGAGACTAATATATCACCTCCAGTAGGAAGATAGCTTTACTTCAGAACAGTCTCATACAAAAACCCAGTGAGTATTAACTTCAAATGATTTACAAAGTAATTCAAAAGTTTTAAATTAAAAATATTTCTTCCAGCTCTAAATTACTTAATTGTGACCTTTATACCACTAAGAACAAGTGTGCAAAAGAAAAGCCCCTATAAACACTGAATAAAACCCAAAATACTACAGCTTGAGCAGACTAGCCTCAAAAGCCACACTTACCTTCCCTCCCTCCATTCCTCTTGTCCCAAACAGCCACCATTTTATGGCTGTGGATTAGACTAACAAGCTCAGCCTGGTACTGAGTGTTACCTAATGATGTACCTTGGAAACTTTTTCCCCCAGCAGGTAAGTTATGCAGGAAGAAGAGCAATGATGTATATCTACCTTGTCTGTCTTACAAATCTCAGCAGAAACTGCAAACCCTTTGCAGCAAAGCTGCTTCTGAATGTAGGATGAGCCAATTCAAATGAGGGACTGACTCCTATATCACTGAGTCTATTCTCTGACTTCCTTGCCTCACACTGCTCATAAGAAGTCTTATCAGTCCATATTTCTATAATAACTCTCAGCCACTGAGCTGTGTTGCTGAGCATGGGTGACTTGGGATTCAGAGACCTACTTGGCTGTAAATAATTTGTTTTAAAATGCCAACACTGCCATAACCTAAACCACTCAATTAAACAGCCTTGCCTTGCTCTTGTTAGTGCTCCTGTATCGTTGCTTTCTTGAGCATCAGCAGAGTTTGCTGTGCAAGGGGGCTTTTCTTGGGATTGCTACTTCTTTTGGCACTCTTTGCTAGTGATTAGAGGGGTAAGCAGACATTTTATGTAATACTGAAAAGAACAGGTATTGTTACTCCGAACCAGTAACCCGGTACAGCCGCATTGTTCTTCTTTTCTTCCAAGTAAAATTGTTGCTGAAGAGTTTGTAGTTTGGCCTGAGGAACTGCAGCAGTACCAGTGTTCTGCTGGCCCAGAGGCTGGAAAATAAACTCACAGTTGGATGCTGCAGTAGGCAGCAGCTGGGCTGCTGGTCTGGATTTTCCCCTTTCCCAGTAAGTTCTTGCAACACCTGACTGAGTCATCTCGCCTTGGAGGCAGGTGCAGAATCCCAAATTAAGGGCTTGGTGTTGTCATCAGTGCCTGGAAAGCAAACACTTCCCAAACCTTCTCCCCTCAGGAACTGCCACCAGCGGGAGTGGTTGTGGAAACAAGTGTCCAAACCAGGAACATCACTGGGGATGGGGCTCATCTCAGCGTCGGGCCATCTGCCACTCCCCAGAGATCTGTGTGCGTTGTGTCTGTGTGATGGCACTCCCTGTTGTTTTCGTGCTTCCAGAGCCACACCTGCCCACTTGGAAAGAATCTTCGGGACTTTTTTCTGTTTCACTTGAATCAAAGTCAATAGAGAAGGTGATAGGAGTGAGAACCCTTTTTAGTAATTTCTGAATATCTGTTCAGCAATGAGCAGGCTTAAGCTTAATGACTTTCTCAGTATGCAGGATTTCAAACTTGCAACACGTATCTGGATGTGAATGGAATTCAAGGATGTGGGTTACCTAGCGTGCCACATAAAGAAATTTGCCCTTGAACTCTATCAGGGTTCTATGAGTTAGAAGAGGCTGGACTGGGTCTGTGTTTCTTCAGGAAGCCCTGTGTCTGAAAACCTGCTATTTGTATTGTGCTGTTGATTCAAGTGTCTCACCGTGTAAGAGCCTGACGGAGAGACAGAGGCTTTCAGACGGCTCTTAAAATGCTGTTTATTGCATAGACGAGGTTACAACAGTTGAGGGTCGAGGGTGAGCCTATAGCTGCTGGCTATAGGCAAGCTGTGTGTCCTGAAGCCCCTCTAGTTCTGGTTACAATGCATTATATACTTTTCATTACAGAGCATCTTAATACCTGACAACCAATCAATACTTTTACCTATAGCCTATTATAACTACTAACATTACCATATTCATGTTACTATTTCCAATCACAAAAAGTTAGTATATTACAGTTTAAGCTAAAAGTTGTTTTTCAGGTTTTTTTGCAGTGGAAAATTCTGAGATCTTTTCTCTACTTGCAACATTGGCTTTCTTGTTTGCCTGTGAAAATCCTTTTGTTTGGTAAAAACATCTTTTGTTTGAGCTGGATTTATCCTTTGCTCTAAGCCATAAAATCCCCTTCCAACTAACTTTGCTCTTTGCCTTCTAGTTACCCAGTAAGACTGGCTCAGCAATTCTTTTCTTCTATATCAAAACTTGCTATCATTTCTATTCCTTCTTCAGATTCTACATTCAGAGATCTTTCTGTTACACATACATATCTGTGAGACCTTTCTGTCCAATCCTTATCCTTCCAACAACTCCTATTTCAGAAACAGATCTGTTGAAAGTGGATGTTCCCAGATGGGGACATTCCAACACTGCTGCGACCTGCCCTGNTTACACATACATATCTGTGAGACCTTCCTGTCAAATCCTTATCCTTCCCAACATCACAGCATTTAGGAAAGTCTTCAACAGCCCAGGAAGGTGCCTGCAGACAGGCAGGAAGAGCTAGAACTTGAGTCTCCTGACTCCCAAAATCATGCCACCTCCTGAGCATGGAGGTCTCAGCTCCAGGAGTTTGGCTGTTATAGACAGCCAAGCAGGACGTTTGATGTGTTTGGTCCTTGTTTTCTCAGTTTGTTGTAATGAGGTGGTTTTAGAAAATGCCTGCACTCCAGCTAGGGTCAGAGAGTCCTCTGGGATTTCATTTCAACTAAACTTAGGCATCCTAGAATTTAAGTGGGTACTTAGTGTTTAGTCTTACAGATTTAATTAAAATTTAATATCAACAAGTTGTGAAGACAGATTTCATGCTAGAAGATTGAGTGCTAGAAGGTTGATTGAGAGATGACTTCTTCCAGAGTGAACGAATTAAGTTAATTAATTGTTCATAGAAACCCTATATACCAAACAACTAAAAGGTGACATAAATATCTTAAGGATTTGGTACCTGGCAAAGGAGACTGAAGAACTGTTACCATGAATTGTTCAGGCTGCTGGCTGAGAATAAATTTTCTGGGAAAAGGGTGGGAATATTTAGGTTGCTTCTTTAACCAAGGATTTTGTATAAGACAGGCAAATGCCTCAGCATTTGCAGACACTGAAAAAATTATAAAACAGACAATGTTTTTAGAAGTTAAAATTCATAGGTAATTTTAAAAAACCGACAAAATGGTTTGGAAAAATATACAATACAAAGAAATACTGAACATTAGGTGCAATATTTCTTTGGCATTCAGGTAAGTGACATTTCCCTCATCAAAGAGCTATTAGACTTTAAAAACATGTCCAGCTGTCATTTATGGATTTCAGTAGCAATTACTCAGAGTTGCTTAGTTTCAACTCAGGATTGTTGGTAGCTGTGAGAGATAAAAAATTAATCCCATTTTTGTGGAAAATCAATCGGAATTACATAGCTGGAGACAAAGGTGTTCATGAAGGGATGTAAGTGTATAATGTAAAAAGAGATTCAGACTGCTAGGTTTTTACCTTTATTGCTAGTAGTATTTTCTTAGCAAGAGCATTAATTTTCTAAGGTAGTGCCAAGAGCTTCTATTATCTAGTCTATGACAAAGAGTTATTTCCTGCTGCTGGACTGGTGCTGGGAAAGAAGTTATTCCATACCACATTTTCTTTTAAAGAGTGTGAAATGACATGCTGGAATGCAGATAACTGGGGATAAGCATTTCATACCCCACCAATAAAATCTTCAATATACGTAGTTCACATCATAGTTATGGGAATTGTGCTAAGCTTTGCGCCTACAAGGAACTTCTTCTAGCAGCAATTCACAGAATTGTTGACATCACTCTATCTCATGAAATAGGCTTTCATTTTGGGGAGTTATAAAGTACTGTGGTTTAAATGAAACGTTTAAATGAAAGTTCTGTAAATAAAAGTTCCTGCTCTCTCTCCTCCTCTCTCACACAGACACCCATGGTACAAGCGATTTCATTGTAAGGAGACGTTTTCATTGTAAGGAGACTTTTGGTAGAAGTACTATTGTTAAAATTATAGTTACACATCTGCTTAATCATGGTTCAGTGTTCCTAAATTAGAAAATGTCAAGAAATGAAGCAAGATGACAGTCATAGTTGATATTTATCAAATTCTTTGGAAAAACATAAAAAGAAACATGCTGTCAAACTGCAAATGTCCTGGAGACCTTTTAGGTCTGTTTTACAAGACTGTTGTACAACACTGCCAAAATTAAAGAGAAAATTAGTATTATTTCACTAGACTGATAATCATCTAATCATCACGCTCACATATGTGGGTCTAAGATGAGTTGATGAGAATCTTTTTTCGGTACTTTGGCATCAATGTACATCTGAAGATGGTATAAATTCACTGCAGAGCATGTCAGCATGTATTAAATGAGTACAGCCTGTTAGTGACTGCTACTGAGTTAAGAAGGATTTTAAACTAAGAAAAAAAGAGAGATTGAGAGGGAAAGAAAGAATACAAGTGTCAGTCTGACATGGGGATCTTACTGCACTGATATTTGCAATGCTTTTTCATTTTATAGTCCATTAATATTATGAAGCGGACACTGCAGAAATATGGAAGCTATGAAAAATTTGAACAGGCTGCTGGAGGCAGCTTGCTGACCAAAAGTCGCATCTGGAATCATGTCAGAAAGTACATGGTGAAAGAAGGCTGCCTTGGTGAGGTAAGTCCTGCACTGGATCAGGAAAGAAACACTTGCGTAGACCTTAGACATTACACGTGGAGGGACCCAAGAGACCATCTGGGAGGCCTTTCCTCCATAATTACAAGAATATTCTTTACATCATACTTTTCTTATGGCTAAGCCTGGTCTAATGTTTGAACAGTTGAGACAACCCAAATTCATTGTGAACACTTCAGTCATTTCTCTGAGCCTGTTTCCTGATTCATATATGCGTGTTCTTAAATTATCTTTTTTTGGGAGTACCCAAGAATGACACCCTTCCTTCCCTCCATTTTTCAGCTACTTGGAGACCAGCACATTTCCATTTATTCAACAGTTCTGCCATCTGTTGTCCTATATCAAATTATTTACACCAAAGGAAAAAGTTAAGAAAAGGCCAAGAAAAATAAGCAGTAGCCCAAGAGAGTGATTTATAAGAAGCACAAATGAACACAAATGAAAGTGACATAAATGAATAAAAATGTCTGAAAGAGCTTGTTGAGTTTGTTTGAGTGCTGTTTTTTACCTGGCTTTAGCCATCTAATTTTTTAGAGCCCTGTGAAAAAAACTTGTTTTCTATGTTCAGAATTTTAGAAGACCAGTTTGATGAAGTTACATGAAATTGCTTGGAAAAGTCAGATGAAGCTGAATATATAAAAAAGGAATTAATCCAAATGAAATCACCAGTTGACAGAGTCTAAGACTTGGATGAGATCACTGGCAGTGAGCAAGAGGAGTCTGGAATCATGAGACAAAAATTAATTTCCCAAAAACTAGGCTTAATTGGTAAACATAATATTATTAGGAGAAACTGCTAAACTCATCACACATTTTTGTGAGACTATGATTTGGCACTGATAACCAGACTTTACTTGTGTTTCTAAGAGTGGGATTAATAAACTACAATTTAGAGCAAGCAGAAAAAATTTGTATGTTTTGTCTTTTCCTATGCTTTTATCTCCCTCTTTATTTTTGCCTTGGTTTTGACTTCATGGCAGCTGGATCCTATGTCCTCGTCCAGCAACCCATGTCCTTCTTAATGAAATGCTTTACTTTTTCTGGGAAAATAGGGTTAATACATCATACTTAGGATGGTCTAAAATATGAAAATACTTTCTCCAGCTGAAGAGGTGTTAATAAAGTTAAGTGGCACCTGTCCTTTAAATCTAAATGCTTTGGGATTTACCAATTTTTCCTGCCCCTTAAATGAAAGTTTTATGGGACTGACCATTTGCTGTTGAACTTGAAGCTGAATGGTGAGTTTTGAGTACAGGGAAGTGTTATATTCATGCCTTTGATCCCTGGGTCCTTTTCTTTGGATAGTAAAAAAAGTAATCTTTCTTTAAAGTAGTCTCCCTTGTACTCTTCTGAGCGGTAGTTTCTTTAGGATTTACATAAAGAGAGAAAGGTGCTTAGTCTTCAATAAAGAGTTTCACTTTTTCCTTTCAGTCACTTGTTTAAAAAGGCTTTCTGATGTTAAAATATATCAATATGCATTATCTTCCTTCTCTGTCAGTTTTTGTTTTGATTACCAGTTTTCCAAGAGAAAACAGGAAAGCAAGAACTATTTTGCTGTATAGAACCAAACAATACCAGTATTTCAATACTTCAAGTCTGCATCATGTAACAGGAGAAAAAGTGCCTAGTACTACCCCCCTCTCATTCAAGTGGCTTTAGAATTGCTTTCAGACAGCTTATTATATAGATACCTAGTCAGTTTCCTAGATAAGGTGTTCTTATCTAGTCCTTTTCAGTTCTTAGTAATATTCAGATAATTCAACACAGTTCAAAAACTGGAATTTCCTCTAATTTATTAGCCATGCAATTGCTCCCTGCCCTCCGAGTCTAGTCAGCGTTACTGTACTGAACTTTTCAGTCTCATGTTGGTCTACACCCTCACTCACCCCATAAAATCTGAGGTTCTGTCAGTAGCACAGGTGAGTAGGATAAACTCATTCAGAAGGCTCTCTCAGGTGATTGCTGATTGCAGGACAGAGTTGTGGAGGGCAAGGGACCAAAGAGAAATGAAATAATGGAAGGGCCAGAAGAAAAAGCAGGAACAAAAGTGAGAAGAGAGCCCTTTCAGTTCTACCTGAACTCTCTCCTCTTCAGATTGTGGTCCATCTCACGGAGGACCTGCTGTCCCGAGCCTCCATGACTGTAGTGAATGGCCGCCCCACTCTCACCATCAATGTCTCCACTGCGCGAGAGCACTGGCTGGAGGGGATGCTGAGACACGAAATTGGTATGAGCATGACATCCCTTCTGCAGGCAAAGAGGAGTACTTGCATGCATTGTTACTTATGGCACAGTGATGGGCCAGGCACTGGACAGATACAGAAAGAGGGAACATCCCTATCCAAAGAATTCATGCTGGAGTTGTGCTAGAGAAGGAGAAACCTTTTTATTACTGCAGTAAAAGATTCCTAGGGTTCCTGGACATTAGCATTTTAGGTCAGATCCAGAGCAATCTTTTGAAGCAGGCCTACCAGCTAGTCCCACTTACATCACTGACGTTCCCATGCCAAAGGAATCTTGGAGCAGGCAAAGAGTAATCCTTTCAGATGGTGCTAGCCCAGGCTCTGCTCCAGGGCATGTCTTCTGTGCTGTCACTGCTCAGGGGCGTTTTGCTTGTGACAGCAATTTTTTTTAACTACTCTGGAGTTAAAAAAAAAAAAGAGGAATACAAAAATAGCGTGACTGTTCAACCTCAGCTCCAGCCATGTCGCTTTACAAACCCGCTCCTGTCATGCTGCACTGCTTGCATATGTAGGCATGCTTTAGGTATGAAGAATTTACCCAGTGATCCCTAAACTGCTGTAAAATTGCCGTGGTTTTGCATTACCACAAGGTTGGCCCAGCCCTGTGGAAAATTTCTACAAACTTTTCAGTGCATCTGTTTCAACTAAGTACATAAAAAAATGGATAAACTTGGCTAGTGCCTGAATAGCAACTGAAGAATAAGCCTAGGCAATTGCCTAGAACCACTGCTACTCACATTTTAAGGGACATAGCATCTTCCAAGGCTGCAGTAGTGCTGTTTAATCACCTTCAGGAGGCAATATTTCTGCCCTTTTACTTTGATTTTCCTTTGTGCTGTTCCCTACAATGCCTAGCCTATGCCAGAGACAATTCATCTTTTAAGACTTCTGAAAATTCACTTTCGCAGATTTTGAAAGTCAAGTCCTCCTGATAGTTTCATTCCTTCAGGAATTTCACTTGCAGTCAGCAGGTGAATATTTGTGTGGTGTATATATCTCTGACAAAATTCTCTGTTGTAGCCAAGGCTAAAGTCATCACTTTTCCCAGTGCCCAGTCCTACCAGCTCAGAGTTCTGAAATGGGTATCTCCTTATATATTTTATAATTTTTTGTTAATCATTGGATGCTACTGTTCTAAGTGCCACGTTCCTTTTATTTTTTCTTTTCAGGAACTCATTACTTTCGGGGTTTTAACAACAACAGTCAGCCTTGGTGCAATCGTAATGGACGTAGAAAACACGGGTTAAAACCAATCAACCCTACAGAAGAGGGGCTAGCAAGCATTCACAGTGTCCTGTTCCGCAAAGACCCTTTCCTTTGGAGAGCTGCCCTGCTCTATTACACAGTGTACCAGGCCAGTCAAATGTCCTTCAGTCAGCTTTTCCAGGATGTGGGGAAATTTGTCAAGGACCCTAATACTAGGTGGGATTACTGCGTACGCGCCAAGAGAGGATGGACTGACACTTCACAACCAGGTGAGTTCCCTATTTGTCTTCTCTTGTTTTGTACTTCAGGGAGGTTTTCATAACATGCACAGAGCTCCTTAATCATGTCACACAGTAAAACCTTTGCAAAAGGGAGAAATCAGACTCCATGCTTTCTGAAATGGTGTCCCAGGAATTCTGCTAAGGAAAAAAAAGGCTGAAAATGCTCATGAGTAAGACCTTCAAGCTGAATCAGTAAAGGATTTTTTTTTTTGTGGAAGTGGAACATAAATGCAAAATTTTGAAAAAATCATACTTACAGTTTGACCTGCTTTCTACAGATGTAATGTTGTCTGTGGTTATTCACAGGTTCTATCTTCTGTGTTTGATTTCTTTTTCTGGCTAGTGGGTTTGCCTTCTAGCTAATTTTTGGAAAGGTTTCCAAAGTCAGGGATATAAATATCTAGTTTTTAAAAATAAAATTGTTCTGCTCATAATGGCTTCTGAGAACGTGCCTTGACAAAACACTGACAGAGTACAATGTATCTCCATTCCTTCCAGGCTGTTTCAATAAGGACCAGGTGTACTTGGATGGCATCCTCCGAATCCTGAGATACAGGGAATCCATTGATTTTCATCTTCTGACAGCCCTCGGAAAGGTGACTGAACTCATTATTCCCAAGGGTATTGTTTTATCATTTCAGCAAGCCTGACTATAATTAAGCTATGAGTCGTGCTTTTACTTTGATCTAGAATTATCTGCTCTGTACAGCACCTTCAATTACACTGTGCAAGTTGCAAGTATTTTGAGGCCCTAAAAATTTCTACCAGCTTGTCCTCATTCTTCACTTTTCAGATTAAGATTTCATAGTCATATTTCTCAGACTTTCTTCTCTTTATGGGTTACTACCTTGCCTGCAGTACAACAGACTGCCTTGGCTAAACAAGACAGGTACTAGATAAGGCAGTGGTCCTAGCAGAAAACAAAACCATTTGACATTAATGCACCCCTCCTTCCACCACAAAGAGTACTTCATCTCAAAGCTGATGGCAGTTATTTTTAAAAAATGAGGGAGTTCTTTGCCTCTCATTTGAATAATGGCATTTCTATATTTACAGAATGTGAATGAATTTTAGATCCATTCTAACTGTCATGGCTTCTTTGTTCTCAAATCACAGAATCACTAGGTTGGAAGAGACCTTCAAGATCATTGAGTCTAACCCATGCCCTAGCACCTCAACTAAACCATGGCAACAAGTGCCACATCCAGTCTTTTTTTAAACACATCCAGGGATGGTGACTCCACCACCTTCCCGGGCAGACAATTCCAGTACTTTATTATTCTTTCTGTGAAAAACTTTTTCTTAATGTCCAGCCTATATCTCCCTTGGCGCAGCTTGAGACTCTGTCCTCTGGTTCTGTCTGTGTCCTCTGGTTCTGTCAGTTGCTGCCTGGTGAAAGAGACCAAACCCCACCTGACTACAAACACCTTTCGGGAAGTTGTAGAGTGATAAAGTCACCTCTGAGTCTCCTTTCCTCCAGGCTAAACAACCCCAGTTCCCTCAGTTGTTCCTCATAGGGCTTGTGTTCCAAGCCCCTCACCAGCCTTGTTGCCCTTCTCTGGATGCGCTCAAGCTCCAATCGTCCTAAGAAGTGCAGAAATGTCACACTTCCTGAACCAAATCCTTGGGTTGTTAAGCTTTCACAGTTCATTAAGCAGGGTCCATACTCACATAAACAGGGAGTCAAATTGACTTGAGCTTGAATTTAGAGCTGCTATACCAGCATTTCTTCCTACTTAGCAATCAATGGGTGATAAAGGAAAGGGGCATATTATGATAGAGGGTTTTGGTCCACATTTGAGTTTTCCCTTTACTGTCAGAAACATCCTTATTGATAAGTAAGAGCAATTTAGGCAACTAAACCAAGTCAGGAATCTTTGAAAATAAAATCACACTGTCAAATAAGTCTGCAACTTTGTCTCTGAAATTTCCTTTTGCTTTAAGCCTGCTTAACTTCACACAGCTTCTGCCTGCTAAACCACTGAACACACAGTTCCTTTACTGCTTTATGCCTCTCTTCAGAGAGTCTGCAGGTTGTCAGGCCACTTGAAAAACACACTAAGTCATTCTTCATAGAATTACAGATTCCATTATCATCCACATGCGTGGCACCCACATGAAGGGTCTACCAGCAATTCATTTCTAGCAGTATGATAATTTATAAGTGCTTGACTTTACAACTTTTAAAATCTTAAAATGTATTCTGAATGGTTTAGCTTCAGACATCTGCAGTCAAGCTGGAAATTTGTGTATCAGAGCAATGCCTGCTCTCAGCATCACAGACTAGTTGAGGTTGCAGAGATCTTGCAACATCATCTAGTCAAACTTCCATGCTTAAGCAGTGGCAGCTAGAGCAGTTTGCCCTGGACCATGTCCAGTTGGGCTTTAAATATCTCCACTGATGGTGACTCCACAACCTGTCTGGGTGGTCTGTGCCAGTTTTTGCACCCTCATTGTACAAATGTGGTTTCTGGTCATATGGAATTTTGCGCATTTTAACTGGTGCCCACCACCTCTTGCCCTGCCAGTGCGTGCTGGTGAGAAGGGCCCCATTCCTGTGTTTGTATACACTGACAATTCCCATAAGTTTGCTTTTCTCCAGGCTAAACAGTTCCAGCTCTCTCAGCCTTTCCTCACAGGAGAGATGCTCCAGTGCCTTAATCATCTTAGTGACCCTTCACTGGGCCCACTCCACTATCTCCATATCTTCTCATGAAAGAGAGAAATATAAAATTTGCACTGGGATCTAGCCTAGTGGTTTATCACCACTTTAAATGGGGGATTTATTTGGTTTTTTGGGGTGGAATGGCAGGATCAGGTTGTTCCAAAGGGAGTATTAAGCTTGGCTGACACATTTTCCAGGTCCTGCTTTCCTGTTGCTTCTGACATTACTTACAGTGTAGAAAAGTGCGGTGTGGATACATGCAAGCTGTTCAACATACCTCGAAGTGACTAAGGAAAACACTTGAAACCTGAGAATAGGTGCTTCTTAGAAGGAGCAGTTTTAAAACTTTGCAGGAAAGAATCAAATAGAGGAAGCACTGCAAAATATTCATGTGGTAATTTCATGCAAATATTGCTGAAGAGAAATAGAATGCAGATATTAGGTGCACTTGAGTATATCGTAACTACTACCAGAGTTTGAAAAATGTAAAAGCAGCAAAACATCACCTACTCTTGTGTTTCCCAAGAAACACATGAGCACATTACGAAGAGCATAAGTAAGCCTGTTTTAGCCTCAATCTTTTTTATCTAGTGTAATGACTAATAATGTGGTAAGGAGGACAACCTGTTTCTACCTGTCATAGTTTTGATTTGCCAATTTAAATATACTCATTTTCTGTTGTGAGACAGAACCAGGAGCAAAAGCAAGGCAGGCCTAAAACTTAAAAGGGTATAAAAAGAAATGTATTAACTACACAAAGAAAGAAAAAAAACCAAATTCAGAATAAGATTTTCAGACCACTCCTTCCTCCCCTCTCCCAAACTTCATAACAACAAAACAAACATACAAAAAAACTACTTCAGTCAGTTCCCAACTTAAATAGTCCTTTTCATTTCACTTCAGAGAGAGAAGTTTCCTCTTGTCAGGCCACAGGGACTTCTCCACAAGGAGGGAAAAATAACAGTTCTCTTGTGGCTTCACTTTCACGATTCACCTCTGCCCAGGAAAAAAACTTGCAAATCGTGAAGCTCCTCCCATCTTCACAGATTTCCCAAGGCTGTGCTTATGGGCCATGTTAAACTCACTGGCTGTATACTTTCAAGAACGAGCTGTTCCAAAACAAAAGTTCTCTTCATCTCTCTTTCTCTCTGTTCATGCTGCATCTCCAAAAATAGAGATCCCCTTTTCTTCTGGGGGCAAAGGATCCTTAACACAGGTGCTTTTAATCAACAGTCTATCAAATGGAACACTCCAACCCCCCATGTCTTTCTCCATGGTTTATAGGAATTTTCAGTTCATCTCTACAGCTTGCAAAAGGATTTTCAGCCAGCCTTCATAGCATCTTCTCATTCTCCTTCCATCTAAAGAAGCTTAGCTCTTCTATTTTTCCCTTCTCACTCAGGGGAGAATTGAAAAATCTGCAAGTCTTGTCTGAGCATTGAAAGAGTTAAGATTTCATATGGGAAAATGCAAGGCTGCAATACTGGAGCTGTGCCAGGATCTCAGGAGACTCAGGCTGTGCTGGAAAGGGGGAGGAGGAGGGAACGGCTGGGACCTCAATGAGCCTCCCTGGGTCTCAGCTACAACACCCACTGCCCATGGCCACCCCTCCTCCCTGCCGGGCCATGCAGCTCCCCAGACAGGGGGGCCCGGCTCTGCTCCCCTGCTAGGCCTGCAGTGGAGCCAGGCCCGGGCCCAGTTACCTGCACTCCTGCTGGAAGAGACCTTTTATCCGGGTTACCTCCTTCAAAATGTGTTTTCACGGAGGAAACTAACTTTCTCCAATTGGTTCCTCAGGCTGTCAATAACCAAACCAGCCTCCAATTGGTCCCATCAGCTCACAGAGGAAGTTCTCATAGAGAAAAACCTCTCTAAGTCTATGCTCCCCCGGGCATAACCAGCGCACCACCAACAGGATGGGATTATGTTTTTGATCTCCTCAGGATGTCAACTTTGGTAATTTTTCTAGCAATTACAAGGACTGGGAAAATGCATCCCATCCAAACCATATCTCAGATTATAGATGCGTTTCTTGTTTGCAGTAGTAACAGAAACCTCTTAACTTAAATATGAGGGGGGAGGGATGCTTTTTCTTTCTTTAGGCAGGAAAAGAGGTAGAATTTAATTGTATGTAGTGCTGTGTGTCTACACTGAGAGATGGTATGGTTTTGTAGAGGTCCTCTGTATCCACTTCTAAGTAAGTTAGTTAGGTGTCATGCCACACAATCTTCAGATAGGAGTATCTTAGTGACTTGAATAAGCCTGGGCATGGGTGTCCATTCGTTTTAATTGGGAGCATCTTGTCCTTGCAACTAAAAAGCACACTTGTGTACTAAGATGGAAATTGATTCTCTGTGTGGACTTTGTTCTAATTATCATCACTGAGATATGTACCTGTCTCTATGGATCAGGTTTAGCAATCTGGATTACACTGTCCTGTCTTTCCAGAAAGCCCTTCCATGCCCCTTGCACATTGGTGACTTCTTTATGCGCACTTTAATCACTGCTGAGTAGAAACTCTCACCTGACAAGAGGACAGGCTGCTTCCAGGGAAAGCAGACTGTGCAGGGCTCAGCTCCTTAGAGGAAACATGGGTCAAAAAGGTTGGAAGGAGCAGGCTCCACTCAAGCCACCTGGCACAGCATGTGAAGAAATAGGACGTGTCAGAAAGTAAGCACAGCGAGGCTGGTGGGCTTTGCCAGTGCATATGCTGCTGTCTGCAGGGTGCCAGAACACACAGCTGGAGACAAAGCAACAACCACACAAATTTCATCACACTGGACAGATGCCCAAGGATTCCTGCTCTGTGTTTCCATGGCAGCATGTGCACAGCCAAAGCATTTATCATTTCTGGACTATCATTCAGAGCATCTTGAGTTACTTGATTAGAAGTCCTAGCTTTTAGAATCATAAGACTATGAAGATAGCTTTCTTGCCTAAGGAAAATGGGTATTTCTATCAGGTGCTGTAATAGCTGCAAAATGAGAGTTCAGCACCAGTACCCAGAAGGCTCTGATGCTATGAGGCAAACCCAGGCTCCACTCTGCTATTGAATGGGGAAAACAAAAAAACTAAAATTGGGATGCTTAGGTATTGTTCATGCTGTAGTTAGTTACTAGAGGTGCATTTTAATTTAGCTTTGCATAAGCACATTTACTAGTGGAAATGAAACGGCAGAGTTCAGGTCAGCAGGCACCCTGCATTTCCCAAACTGTTTCCTGTGCCATACTTGTCCTGCCCTCTCTTTCTAGTTCCTTAGTCTTTTGCACAGTGTTTTTTCCATTCTCATGTAAATCTTTCCGCCTTTGTTGAGAAGACATTCCAGGGCTCATATGTACTCCATCCTTTCCCTCTCTATTCCTGCAGCTGCTGTAGATGATTCTCATTCATTTTCCTACAAGTCTGCTTACTGATTCAATCAAAAACAGAATCAGAAATTATGAAGGCATTTGCTTAATTTACACTTCTTTTGAATCTTCCACTGAAGCACACAGTTGCTCATGTTTTCAATGGTTCTCCAAGATTTTAAATTCTCCTGCTCTGAAATATTTTATCATTTACAGGAGGGAATTTATAGCAGCAGCAGAGAAGCTATGGGACTGTACTGCTAAATTGACCCATGTGCTTCCTTACAGATCTCATATGAGGATGTGGATCGCCTGAAAGGATTAGCTGTGATTGAGAACATGAGGGTGCCACACTTTTTGCAAGACCACGCCCGGTACATGGAACACTTGAAAAAGATCATGGAAGTCAATGAGCTGACTGATGACGAGCTCCAGGATCTCATAAATTAACAATATTAGACCTCTATTCACTTACTGTATGAGGATGTAGAACAGGACTTCATAGAGCTTGCAAAAAGGGTCTGATGAGGGATGGGAGGGAAGAGTGGCCAGAATATGTGGAATTCAGAAAAAGACCTTTTATGTCCTTTTGCATTGTGATTGTGTACTGATTATTTTTTAAGGGGATTGTGCATTTTTGCAAAATTTGGCTTAGAAATTCCACTGCAGTAATCTGTCCAATCATCTACTCTCTTTTGTATGCTTGGTATAGTGCTCAATGCTGTTTCTTGTAATATATTGCCTTTTCCCACCCAGTTTAGAGGTGGAGAAAAGGATACAGAGGAGAAATTCCCCCTTAGTTCACTTTTGTTTTCCTTATCTTTGGTCATAGCTGTCATGGTTCATAGCAATAGAACTGCTGTAGATTACGCTGCATTGCTGTCTGCATAATTTTCCCATTTAGTCATCATTACAATGAAAACAGAAAGTTTAAAAACAGTGCACAGAAGCAGGTCTTTGTGCTACAGGATCGAAGTCCATAACATTACAAAAAAGTTTCAGGTTTTTTTTTTAGTGAGAGGATTAGCATTTTAAAAAAGAGAAAAGGTAGGTAGTGCTGTTTTAATGACTGTAAGTGGATAGCAAAGCTTTCCCTTTCATTCCCTCAAAAAGTTACACCATTCTACATATTTATGTGTATAAGTACATGTTTCAGGAAGCTGAATTCTGGGAAGAACCTCCCTCCTTTGAGGACAAGCATAGCATGTCTAGGAAATTCAGCATGGCAGTGTTTTGGAAGGAGGATGGAGCAAAACTGATTTCATGATCCATGGTTCTAAATAAATTCAGGAACTTAGGGCCATGATTCAGCACAGCAGGCAGCACTCAATTCTTCATTGGGTCACCTGAGCCTACAGAGTATCAGGTCACATTTTTGAGCGGTACCCCCACATTGCAACAAGCTTGGGCTTGCAGAGCTCATTTCAGAAACAAGATGAGACTGGAGGAGTGAAGACAATTCTCAAGTGCCCTATTCTTATGTTCCAACAGAAGTGCTGCACTATCTTGAAGCAACTTTACCTCTGTTTTAACTGCTGGTGCTACATCCAGGACCAAGAGAGAATGTTCCTTACAGCAAAGAGCCTTCTCTAGTCATATGATGAATAGCTTAGATGATGCAGGAGGACTTACTACATAAACTATATTTTCTGATTGTGGAGTATTATTGAATTGGTGAGGCAAAGTATGTAAGTATTCTGACAAAGGGTTTTGTTTTAGTAGACAGGATTTTACAAGGGCTCCTCTGAACTCCTGGGAAGGAGCTGTGGTAAGAGGCTGGGCAGAAACTAGTGGGAGCCTTGGAGAGGGCTTCTGCCCTTTCTTACCCTGCTGCTTTTACCCATGGGTAACAGGCTTGGCATGGAATAAGGTGAGTTAGATGGTGCCAAGGTTTCACCCACGCTGTACTTGCATGGACCTGAGCCAGAGTATCCCTTTCCTCTTATCCTAATCTTTAATGTAACAAATGCAATTAACTCTCCCACCTTGGTTTACACCCAGGACATTACCAGATATTACAGTAAAATCTGGAAAACACATTTTCTGATCCATAAGAAAATCTGTGAGGAAAAGGTGATGGTTGGCTAATAGATCTGAAGGTTTATGAATAATCCGTGAAAGCAGCTGCCTTTCAGGTACCATTGCAGGTTGTTTGCAATGGCTGGCTGCCTGCTGCAAAAAACAAAATGTGTTCAACAAGCATAAATTTATTGATTTTAGTTATTTTCAAGGCAGGGACTGTGAATTGCTTGCAGCAGCCTTAATTTTGTGTCGTCAGTATTGTTCAGGAGCTGAAAGCCATTCAGCTTCTGTATGCTGTTTTCTCTCGTTTTCTTCTTCAGGCTGTCTAGTTTAGTCACTGGTGACTTTGCCTGCCCAGTTTTGTTTTAGAGCTGTGCAGAGCAGCCACAGTGTTGCAGCAGCCTGATAGAAACCATTTGCAGTCAGTTATGCACATGTGGTTTTGGCTCCTTTGCCAGAAACAGCAAGAAAGCTACATATGATGAAGTCAAGCCAAGGATTACAGTCAAAAGCTGTCTTTGGAGTAAACTGGACAGAGATAATGGGAGATACACCGTGGAAAAATCTGGCTCACTTTCCTGACCCTAGGGTATGCAATGGGGACAATCCTTTAAGAAATAAACAATTTTGTACTGATTTTATTCTGGCAGGAGAGATTCCTGCCTTTCTCTCATGACTTCTACATAAGCAAAGTGGTTTTCCTCTTCCCACAGTAGTAGCATCTTATAATCTAAAGGCGTGTGCATGGGTCCTCAAAACCAGGAGGCTGTGCTAGTCACACTTTTGCCACAAAATGCCATGTCTGCAGGCCTGACACTTTTACCACTCTGTAGCCCTAAACACAACTACAGGCCTTTTTGCTTTACTTGAACATGTGCATCACCTTTTTTGCAAAGCAGTAGGTGCCATTGAATTTCCATTCTTCATTATTCTAGAAATAGATTTGCCTGCTGCAAAGTTTGGAGTCTGGAACTGGTCAGTATCAATATGTAGCAATAGATGAAGCTGTCAACTTCTGGTTTTGGCATCAGACCAGTCATTCCTCCTTTATAAAAATGTTTCAAATTTTGAAGTGTAGCTTTTGTAAATTTTCCTGAATTTTTGTTATTTACTGTGAAGAGGCTGGTTACTGAGTTGTGATACTGAAGTTCTGTGATAGAGTGTGCGGACAGCAGTGGTGAGCAGCAGCGAGCTCATGTCACTGCACAGTTTCATGGTGTCAGTGCTATGTTGGCAGCCTTTCCTGGCTACCTGGGTTGGTTCTTTTGCTTTGTATCTATGTCTTGCTATGTTATTCCTACACAGAAACCTGGTTGGCATTGGAAAAGCCTCTCCGTTTCACCAGATCAATTTTGAAAGACATTTTATACAACTTTTACAAATAAAGACAAAATAATGACAGAGATGAGAGTACTGAAGTGTAACATCATGTTGTGCGAGAGGGCTACTCTCTCCAGTGGCCTCAGCTCTAGGTTATGGTCTAAGGCTGCATTGGAGCCTCTTTGCTGCAATGCAATTCTCAGCACCATCCATGTGGGAAATGGCAACTCCAAATGTTGCACTTTAACACTTTAATCCACCCCCAAGTCCCCCCTCTCCTGCTGCTTCGTTCCAGTGCTCCCCATCCCCTCTCACATTATAAAATGTCCTTACTTATCTCCAGGGAGTCCCATCATCTTCTTATGGCTCAGCAGGAGCAACGGTAGAGAGCCCACAGATGAGGGAGCTCTCAAGAGCGAGCAGTGTCAGGTTGTCTAGACACAGTTTTGAAAAGAAAAAATTCCTGAAAAAAAAATCCTAAAAAACTGGTGGCAGGAGAAATGCAGGTGGTGGCACAGAAAGGGCCAGTACTCCTGCCATGTCCCACGGTCAGAGTGGGATGAAACCTCCCTGCAGGGACCTCTTACACTGGATCTGTGCATTCCACTGAACATCTACTCCAGAACAGCAGAGCTGGGCTCATGTTCAGGCCCTGTCCCAGCAGTGCCTTGAAAGTGACACTTGGAGGGTCTCACATTTATACTTTAGGGCCCAATTTCCATCCTGTGGCACATTCCAAGCAAAATACCTGTCAGGCTGTTTTCTCCAGCTTACTGGCTTATTTCTGTCTTGTTTGACTTTTGTCCTGGTCTCTAGCATTCATCCATCAGGCTGGGTTTTTTTATTCCTCGTTCTTCACATTCCTTTTTATCTAAGGAATATATTCACTATCATATAATGCCTCTCTGAGACTAAAAGGTAAATTCACTCCCATCCCCCAAAAATCCACAGATGATCTGTAAGTCAACTTCCTCCTCTCCTCCTAGCAGTATTTTAAAGCTAAGGTCCTCTGTATTTTTGATCTTCCTATATAGTTTTCAGTCAAGAAGCTTTTCCAGGCACAGACAAGATAGGTCACCAGACACACAGGACCATGTGTGAAGCCTCCAGTGGCGATTCACTCCTCCATCTGTTGTCTCATCTCTGCCCTTCCCCATTTCCCAGTCTCTCTAGCCCACAATCCTCCAGCTCCCAGCATCCTTGGTCAGTAAAAGGAACAATAGCTGTAGAGTTGAAGGAATCAAGGCTCCCCCAACGGAGAGAGCAAAGGTACAGAGGTGCCCAGCCAGGCATGTATGAGTGACCTCTGTGGGAGCCTGCTGACATCTTCAGGCAATAAAAATGGGGGGAGGTAAAGTGACTACTCAGCTGCAAGGCAACCTCTCTTGTCTATAGACAAGGGAGTAAGGAGGTCTGAAGACAAAGCTTCTCTGAAGGCCACTCCCTAAAATCTGGTGGGAAAGTGTTCTGAGACCCCGGTACACCTTGTGTTTTCACATAAAGTTTGAGCAATGTTGCAGTTCAGGTCTGTGCACACTCCTTTTTTTCCCCTTTTTTAAATGAGGCCTTTCACACAGCTGATAAAGAGAAATTTGGACATCCCTCAAGCTAGGAACATCTCTGTGCAGGGTTATGAGATGGCCAGAAGGATGGGTCATCAAAGAGTCATCCAGCAACATATTTCCTAAGTCTACACCTAACCTGTAGGTACTTCGGAGTAAATCCTTTGAGCTACTTTGATTTTACAAAGGAGCTTTTATACCTTCAGATATGGAGGTAAAAATTACTTAAGGCTTAAAGGCTTGTTTGCAATTGTGGTCTTGTCCTGCTCTGCGGAATGTGGTATGCAACCCAGAACTGCTGAGTAGTGACAGTGAGAGCCATGCATTCTGCTGTCATGGCCCTACAGTCACCCTGAGAGCAGCTAGCTCACAGACATCTCTTCTTGGAATGAAAAAAGCGGCTGCAGGCTGTTTCCCACAAAAGCCCTGATTCACAGTCAGTGTGACTCCTCACATGGGGAAGAACTTTGCCTTTTGCTTAGGAAAAACAGAGAACATAATCCTCCTATAAAGTTTTTCTCATCTAGAAACTCTGTATGAAAGTATTAAAGTCAGTAGCCAGGAACTGTCTGCATGTCTTTGCCTTGCTTCCTGCAGCTAAGGAAAAGTTCATAACATAAATACTGGACATTTCCACCTAATTTCTGGGTGCCTAAATTTATGACCTGACATGCCCCTGGCGAACAGCAGCTACTGACCCGGGAGCTCTGCTTCCCATCGTATCTGCCCGTGGCCAGTATGCTCAGTTTAAAACCAAAAAATCAGCTCGATGTCAGAAGGCAGCATTTATATGTCTAGGAAAATCTTGAAGAACCGGACTGATCCTTTTTTGTCATTTTCTAGGAGCACCAAGCACTGAGTCCCCTTACGGTTTGAGTGCCAAGACCAAGGCTGATTAACTTGTACAGTCAAGCCTTCACTCCTGCATGATCCATCAGGATTTATCAACCTACTGCTGCCACAACCTGGTTCTTGGAAATTCATCTCCAGGACAGTTATTTCCTCCTCAGAGGTTATCAGCAGCTCTCCAAACTATATCATACCTCCCTTTTTTAGATGGCTTGCAACACTGCGGTGCAACAACACTGCAAAGCCAAGTGACCAAATGGACATTTGCCAAATAAGTTCTTTTAAAAAGCCCATAGGACGAAGCAGAGGCTTTCCCACGAAGCGAATGGGTCAGTGCAAATAGGAAAGGAGAATAATTTGGCTGAGAAGAATTTAAAAGCTTTCATTGTGATGAGCAAAGAGGCCAAATACTAGACATGGTAGCCTTGGTGAGCTGGGTGCTGTTTTAAGCTTTTTCCAGAAGATGCTAAAAGGTAGAAACTCAAATGTGTCTGCCAGGAGGAGAGGCTCCCTGCAGAAGCCCCCACTGTGTGGTCTGACCAACCATGGCCACCGAAGGGACCATGGGCTGTGTATCAGCTGTCACCACATCCCCTGGCCAGGGGAGGTCTGAGGCTAGACAGGAGGCAGCACTGTGTTGTAAGGAAGTGGCCAAGGCTCCATGTGCAGTGGGCAGGGAAGAGTTTCACCAACCGTCACTGTGCACAGGTGAGATGAATGGCATTACAAAAAAATAAACCTGGACCGAATCAGTCTGTAGCCATTGGTGACATTTGCTAATGAAGCAGGACCCTGCCTCAGAAAATTTGGGCTCCTGAGGAGACCCCAAGATGTGTAAGGTGTATCCACCCTCCTGTAAGAAAGGCTCACTACTTCTGTACCCCCTCCTTAGTTGCTTAGTTGCCTTCCTTGGCACTACCTGGGCACTAAAGCCACAGCCAGCTGGGTCAGCAGAGTTTCCACTAAGATCATCTTGAAATAACATTGCTATTCAGGTTTGCTCCCCCAGGGGCAAGAGGAACACAGCCACCACGTCAGCTTCTGAAGAACTATAGCACAACAGATGTTCTTGGAAACTCAAAAATCCACCAGACTCACAACCACCTCACCCTCCTCCAGGGTTGTCAGAAAAAAGCAAAAAAAGCAAGCTTTTTAAAACCAGTGAGACCACAGTGAGGCACTGCTGATTGCCAACATGAAGTAACCAGGCACATACCTCATACAGATGCTCCACACAAGGCAAAATTCCACCTATAGATACCCAATTCCTCCATCTTATCCCAAGACATCTTTTTATCCACCAAGTAATCACCTTTCCAGAATTCTCCATTGGGCTGAGTAGCCTCCAGGCTATAGACCAGCCTCATTAACTTTCCCTATGGCTCATACATGGGTTATGAAAGGGGCTCAGCTCATTTCCCACACGAGCAGCCCCTGTTAACTCATGAGCCAAAGCAAAAGTCCTTGTAGCACCTGTGAGCACTATCACCTGCTCAGGAGGCTGCAGGTGCTTCTCCAGGCTTTGGTGCCTCTGCACTTATTTACACCCGCACCAGGATAAATGGGATCTGGCCTTTCAAAGTTTTATTTCTAGAGCTATAAAATAATTTCAGCCTCCAAACATATTTATAGCAGGGAAACACTAGCTGGTACAAGAGAGTGAATGTGTTCTTGGGAATTTTACTGCCTCTCACCTCATGTAATATTCATTTGACTAAGGCAACTCTATTGCATCTTCACCTATATTTTGCAGTTATCCAGTAAGAGTTTCTTGGGGAATCTGGTGCTGCTCAAATTAAAAGAGGGCTGCAAAATTGTACCTAATTGAAAAGGACAAAGCTGCAGCAAGGATCGAGAATGAAAGCAGGAGCCAAGGTCTTCAGCTAGTTTCTCTAATGACCAGAGATAAGTGCCTACACCTCCTATTTTCAACAGGGAATGTTGAGCAACCAAAGGTATATTTTTGATCTGATGCTCTGAGTTCTTAGTCATTCACTTAACCTCTTGAAATATCCTTGAAATCTCCCTCAGTCTGAGTCACTCTCAGGCTATGCCACCTTTTTCTGGGCTTAGTTTTGCATGCAGACAAAAAAGCTGTTCAACTGTGCATGTTTTCATGGGAATTTATTTAGTTGTTGAGAAATTAGTTATTATTGAATAGGTTAGAAATGAGGTGATATCTCAGAAAGCTAAAGTAATAAAAATACTGCAAGAATATAATACTGTTTAGCTCTAAAACCCTCAGTTACAACATCTCCTTTGGTGTGGCACTGCTGTCAAGAGTAGTGAGCCAGGCCAGAGAACTCTCCTCTCAGCAGCAAAATATGTGGTCATCTGCAGCCAGGAGCAGCAGGCATTGGATTAGTGGGCAACTCAGTGCCTTTCACAGTCAACCTATTTCTTTTTCAGATGCTGAAGTCCTGATATGTTTCCCTTCTAGGCCACTGGTTATTAATTGCTGCATGAAAAATCTCATGTAGGTGGCAAATTCAATGCTCCATTTCTGACTGAAGTGCCCCAACCCAGGATAAACACAGAACCCAAACCTCCTTGGAAGCAGCCCCCATCCCTTCCATATGCACGATGACCACACGCTGTATTTGGACCTCCTGTTGTAGTGAGCAAACCAGGCTTATGCAGCAGTGAGGCTCAGAAAAGGGATGCATTACTGCCTGGTCTGCCAGAAGGAGAAACTGAAACCGCCTAAAAAGTCAATGGGCAGAGGTCAGTGCATCATGTGGGCCAGCCCCTGCAGAGACTGCATGAATATGGGCTCATCTATAGACCTCCAGGATGCATGGCCTGTTTCTCCCCGATGCAGAACACCGACTCCTAATAAAGACTCATGGCTACCTCTCACTGATGCCAGCTGCAGGGCCCAAGGACAAGTGCTGTTCCTGTGAGAATCTCAACAGGGAGCACGGCAAAGGGCAGTGGAGAAGCGGACCTGGCTATGCAGAGAGACAAGCTAGTGCTTTCTCAGCTCCTGAAAATTATTGTGCAGGAAGAAAACCCAATATTGAATGTTGCATCAAACAAAAAGACAAAGTCAAGCTCCAGGAAGCTATTCCAGGGCAAAATGACCCTGCCAGGAGCATAAGGAAGGAGGAAAGAAAGGATGAAGAGTGCCTACATGGGGTTGCAGAAGAACAGTGTCTCTCCTGGCTGGGGCAGAAGGACCACTCAGGTCTCACTGCAGATCACATAAGGACCAGCTCCAGCAGCTTTTGCAAGTGTTGAATGGCATTTGAGACTCACCAAGAATGTCCACTGTGTCTCTCTTTTTTGGTTCTCTCTTATTACCTCAATTTACAAACAGGCAAAGGAAAATAACCATCACCTGCCCCTCCCAGCAAAACCCTGTTCAGCTGCATTTTAGCGAAGAGCTTTTCCAGTATTAAAAGTACACTTTATTTTCTGTGCAATTCTTATCCAAATCTCCAGGCATGGGAATGTCCACTGTGTCCCTGGAAAAAGCTTGCAAATTGTTCTGCTGCCATAAGACTCCATCCAGACCTGTCCAGTAGGGGCACAAAGCCAGGACCACCAAAATCAAGTGCTGATACTTTCTAAGTGCAGGGAAGAGAGAAGGAAGGAGAGGTAGGGGAAGGCAGTCCTGCCCTGTTGTGGAGTTGTGAGTGGCCAGGAGCAGAAGAGGTACCCTCAAGTTCATGTCATCGTTCATGCTTAGTGTGGGAGTCGTTGTGTTCAACCGTTATCCCGTTCCCATTCCGTGTCACCTCCTTTCTGTTCCAGTCCTTTTCCAGGTAAAATTCAGCGAGCACAGGGCAGTGCTCTGAAGCCACCCCACCCCAGGACCAGTTATCAGGGATCCATGGGTTTGTAAGCCCTTCTCGCACGACAGCCCAGTGGCCTGCATCAAAGAGAATCACAGGGAAACATTAAGTGATATTGCCCAAACCAGACAGGCTAACCAAGCTAAAGGTTATACAACTTCACTCAAGCAACTCTACCTGTGAAAATCTTTTTTAAGCTCCGACTGATCCAGATGTTATCCAGTGACTTGGACCCTTGTGGGTTCTTTGTGCTGATGTTGGTGAAGGTGCTGGAAGGGACCAGATAGTGAAACTTCTCCTTCTTCAGGATGTCATGGTCGCTGCTGTCTGGGGCCTGGTTAAAGTCTCCAAGGATTATTACATCTTTTTCTCCTAGAAAACAGGAAAAATATAAAAGAATGAGAGGAATGGACATCCATCACTCAAGTATAAGAGGATAAATGGAAAGAGGAAAAATACAAATACTGAATAAACAAAGTGACTGTACTCTGAACTCCTGAAAGGAATGCTGTTTAAAGTCTTTTTCACTGACTATTAACTCATGGCCATTCTCTTCATGACAATAAAACCAGCCAGTACACATTTTATGCTTGTTTTTAAATATCATCTCAATTATTTTAGAGTCATAGAATCATAGAAAATGCTGAGTTGGAAGGGACTCATAAGGGTCATTGAATCCAACTCCTGGTCCTGCACAGGACACCCCAAGAATCACACCATGTGTCTGAGAGCATTGTCCAACCACTTCTTGAATTCAGGCAGGCTTTGTGCTGTGATCACTTCTCTGAGGAGCCTGTCTCCAACCACTCTCTGGGTGAAGAACTTCTTCCTAATACCCAACCTAAACTTCCCCTGAACTCAGCTTCAGGCCATTCCCTCAGGTCATGTCACTGGGCACAAAAGTGAAGAGATCAGTACCTGCCCCTCCTCTTCCCTGCTTGAGGATGTTCAAGATCACAATGCAATCTCCCCTCAGTCTCCTCCAGCCTGAACACACCAAGTGACCTCAGCTGCTCCTCATACAACTTCCTCTCAAAGCCCTTCACCATCCTCATGGCCCTTCTCTAGATACTCTCTAACAGCTTAATGTCTTTTTTATATTGTGTCACCCAAACTGCCCCTAGCACTCAAAGTAAGGCCACCCCAGTGCAGAGCAGGACAGGACAATCCCATCCCTTGCCCAGCTGGCAATGCTGTCCCGGCAAGTTGGCCCTCCTGGCTGCCAGGACTCTGCTGACTCATGTTCAATTTGCCATCAACCAGGACCCCCAGGTCTTTTTTCCACAGGGCTGCTCTTCAGCCTCTCATTCCCCAGTGTGTGCACACAATCAGGGTTGCCCCATCCCAGGTGCAGAATCCGGAAGTTGCCCCTGTTAAACTTCATATGGTTGGTGATTTTTCATCTCTCTAATCTGTTGAGGTCTCTCTGCAGAACCTGTCTGCCCTCAAGGGAGTTGACAGCTCCTCACAATTTAGTGCTGTCTTCAAACTTACTTAGTATTCCTTCAAGTCCCATGTCCAAGCCATTTATGAAGATGTTGAAGAGAACTCAGCCAAGGATGGAGCCCTGCAGAAGCCCACCAGTGACTGGATGCCAGCCTGATGTCACCCATTCACTGTAATTTTTTTGTGCCTAACCTGGTTGCTCCTCCATCATGTTGCATGGTTATGCAGCTGTGTGCTGGGCATTTTGTCCAGAAGGCTACTGTGAGAGACAGTATCAATAGCTTTACTTTTTTCTTTGCTACTCCCTGTTAGTGACAAACTCAAAGACAAGCGGTTTTAGTCTCAGAGGTTTTTAGAAATGTGTGCCTTTGCAATCTTCTTTTTCTGCAAGAAACACCTATTGGCTTTAATTTATGCTGACTTTTTTTTTTTAATAGATTTTCTGTAAAAGTCAAGGACACTTTTGTGAGGAATCCAGGAAGATGCAGCCTTATGCTGGTATATACCACAGTCCCAAAAGTGCAGTGCTCATTCTAACCTCTGCATTTAAGAAATGCCAAGGAATAGGATCAAGGAGCAGTCTACAAGCCTGATGGCAGAAGATGAGTTGAGAAACCACACGGACACTCCCTGACTACAGTAACTTTCTTTTTCCTGGCTAACTGAAGGGATACTGCTCAACTTGGAAGAGAAAATTACTTCAGTTACATTTTGTTTCCAACCCTAATGAGTGAGAATAGAAACTCCAGACCTTAATCTCATGTCCACAAGGTGTGCTTTCTTAGCTCCACAAATGTGGATACAGACATCCCATCTGTGCCATCGGGTAAGAGGACAAAGCACAAGCCTCTGTGCCCATTTCAAATCACTGCCAGAAATGTCTGAGGAGACAACTGAAGAAGAATGCTGAGAGCTGACCAGAAATGCTGCCATGTCACTACTTGGAACTGGAGAAGGATGGTGAAACGAGGCACAAATGCACAAAATAAAATTATCCCAAAGCTGACTTCAGAGGTGAGATCTATGAAGAGCCTTATTATAAGCTTTTTGTTTCCTGGGATTGAAGTGTGAGAGAGAATGGGGTGGACAGACTATCATACTTAGTGCTCTGGATAAACCTCCTAATTTTTTGCTGTTGCTGTAGAAATCACTGTCCAGGAGAGGGAGCACAAGCTCAACAAAATCTATTCCGCTCCTGTCTTGCAGTACAAAAAAGATGAATTGGGAAATGGCAAGAGAGCAAGCGGAGACTAAGGGCATACGACTTACAAATACTCAAAACATGGTGCTTGCTAAGATGAAGAGGGGCAATTAATAGTTAATGAAATTATTTGTGGTTTCTCTACCCTTTTTAAGTCACAAACCACATTGTAAACAACATGACGTTTAAATATTATCCTATAAAACATTCATGATATCAGTCTTCCCACTTTTGAAGGAAAAAACCCCACCTGAATCTGAACCTGAGCTCTATCAGAACCCCCCAACACTTGTTTAATTAACACTTGTTTAATTAACACTTGTTTAATGGCCCAGCAGCACTTGGCTTGTTCCATGCTTTCATCTCCATGGGAAAAGGCCATTGCAGAAACCTCTGGAGCACATCCTTGGTATTTAAAAATGACAGAGATCTTAACAGCAGTACCTTGATTATGCACAAAATCTATTCTATTCTATCCTAAACTACTCATGCTTCTTTTCGCAAATCCTCAAGCCTATTTTCTTGATATGAAAAGTCTATGAAAAAACCCCACCATACTTGCAAATGAAAAATTTAACTGACTGAAAATTTTAACCTTTCCATTCTGGAGAGGTTAGAAATAGCAAAGGATAAAAGACCCAGCACTTATATGTGTGCTTGGAAGGAGGTAAGAAGTCAACCTGCAGCTGACTGCTCAGGGAGGGAATCACTATATTCTTCACCCATTTAAAATTTGCATGCAAAATAACTAAGCATAAAATCATAACATTGTAAAGTTGACAGACAGAATAGGCTGGAGCATGTTAAAGAAGCTGAAACCCCATTTGCCATTGGGAAGAGAAAGAAGTGGTTTTGGTTCCCCTCTGACAGGACCTTCTGGGGCTGCTCAGATGGCAAAAGAGTGGGGAATACATCAGGCAGCCCTGCGCTAAGCAAGGAGGAGCAAGCAATCAGCTTTCTAGACCACCAGCAACTTCATTTCCCCTTTGTCCTGGCTCACTGTCAGCCCTGCTCCTACCTCTGCCAGCTCCTGCAACAACAACATCATGCACGCCAGCACTGCAGTTTCATGTCTTGCCTGCCTCCCAAGACCCTGGCAGACATCCAGCCATGAGGGGGGAGGAAGTGAACCCTCCTGGATCCTCCCGAGTGTGTGACTGTCTAACTGGACACTCCTGGGTCTCTCAGCAGAAGCAGGGAGAAGAGCTGCCCACAGCAGCTGCAGCTCTCAGGGGTCTCATGGATGAGTCCCAATGGCTCTCAGCAAAACATAGCAAAAGTTCTGGAAGAAATCATGGCCTGCTCATAATGAGGGATAACTGATCAAAAGCTGCAGTCATGATGCCCACAGTTACAATCAGACAGAGAGAAAAACAGAAAATTAGGACAATTCTACTGGTACGGTGCTGTGATTTTGCTCTTTTGGAGGAAATGAGTTTAAAACTGGTGAGGCTTGATTCTGCTCCTCAGGAGCCAGAGGCTCCTCGGCCAATGCAATCTGGTCCTGGTCCTCCTCCTCGTCCAACAGACAGAGCAGCGGGAGCTCTCTTAACAACCAATCTTCTGCTGCAAAGGTCCCTGACACAGACTGTACTGTCCACAAGGACCCAGACCCTCCATCTGTTGAGACGTGGCGGCATAAAGCCCACAGCAGCCAGGCACCTCCTGTTCATGACCTCTCAGCAGTGCTCCCACACACATTCATGCCCCCTGAGCCCAAAGCAATCATGCCATTGTCAGTGGAGAACTCCTCAGGTGAAAAAATGTATCTGGTCTGTTTGCAAATGCATCTTCAAATTCACTAAAACACCAGTGAATTTTGGCAGTGCCTGCAGGTGGCTCTTGGCCAGCAAAGCAAAGCAGAACCTTAACTCTGCTACAGTGGCTTAGCTCTGGTGTACCAAGGCAATCAGCTGAGGGACTGATAGTGCCTGCAGAAGGTCTGCAGTGTTGAAATATGCCTCTCTGCAGGAATTGGGAAACCCTCCTTTGCTTCATGGCAGGCCAAGAGGACATACTTCCTGATTTTACCATGCCCTGGATGGTTTCCCTCATGAACTAAACAGACTCTTAAATGCTCAAATCCTTCCTGGACAGAGTGACACACATATGATGAGAAGGATGTGATGTTACACTGGCTGCTAAGAAGTCTTCTCAGAAATCTTGTAAGCTCAGTGCCTGATGCATGGATAACCCATGGAATATGGCCAAGCCACGTGGAAGAAGATATCACAGAATCGTAGAATGGTTTGGGTTGGAAGGGACTTTTAAAGATCATCTCGTTCAAAACCCCTGCCATGGGCAGGGGCACCTCCCACTAGACCAGGTCACTCAAAGCCCCATCTAACTTGGCCTTGAATACTGCAAAGGAGGAGCATTCACAGCTGCTCTGGGCAACTTGTACCAGTGCTTTATGACCTTCACAATAAAGAATTTCTTCCTAATATCTAATCTAAACCTATGCTCTTTCAGTTTAAGAGGATAATTCCCATTCCCTCTTGTTCCATCACTACATGTCCTCATAAAAGGTCCCTCTTCAGCTCTCTCATAGGCCAATTCAGGTACTGGAAGACTGCTATAAGATATTCCCTAAGTCTTCCCTTGTTTAGCCTGAACAACCCCAGATACCTCAGCCTTTCTTCACTGGAGAGGTGTTCTAGCCCTCTGATCATCTTCACGGCCCTTCTGCGGACTTGCTCCAACAGGTCCATGTCCTTCCTATGCTGGGGATCCCAGAGCTGGATGCAGCTCTCCAGGTGGGGTCACATGGGAGCACATTAGAGAGACCGAATCCCCTCCCTCGTCCTGCTGGCTGCACTTCTTTTGATGTAGCCCTCAGCAGGATGAGGCTGACTTACTGGGCTGCAAGTGCACATAGCTGGGTCATGTACAGCTTCTCACCCAACAGCAATTGCAAGTTCTTCTCCTCAGGACTCTCTCAATCCACCCAGCACCCCGGTCCCTGGGTCCAGCCACTACCAGGACATCCAGAATAACATCTGTGTGCTGCCCATGGTCACCACACTGAAGACAAACTGGTGGAGTTCTTGAGAGAAGACAGAAGAGCTGCTGCAAAGAGTTAGCTATTAGCTATTATGCATCTCTCCTGTACTGATGAAAGGAAAAAAAAAGAGAGGCAAAAGGAACCAGGAACTACTAATCTAATGGGAGAAATATGGGGATACTATGCCCTGTTTTGAGGTTGTGGATAGTAAACAATGTTCCTCAAAGGCTCACATGCCTCTTAGTAAGAATAAAAGATAATAGAACAGGCATTTGTTAGCAAAATGGGAACAGAAATTCAAATTTACTGCAGTACCCACAGAAAAATCAGTTCTTACTGCCCATATTTTGTGGACTAATTTGGAAGAAATTGAAGGGTGGTGGTAATTTTAAGCATGATATTCATTTTGGCAGGGTAATTCAGTACTTCAAAGTCACATGTGTGCACTACCATTTCCTTAGCAGACCACACCTACATCCCACAAGTTGGGAGGAATCTGAATTTCTTCTTTTGTGAAAGACTAAGCCAAGAACAAGCATGCTCCAGTAACATGCCAGCCGTATGAAAATTAAAACATGAAATAAAGAGAACACCAACAGTCTAAATTTAGATGCAGTGGAAGTGCAGCTCAGTGGACTTGAGAATAGCTACACATTTATTCCATGTTTCAGTTCAGCCTTCAGGGATTAAACAAATGATCCTTTTGTTTACCTTCATCCTTTCCAATTTTAAAGTATGTGGACAAATAGTTAAATCAGTAGCACTTAAAATAGCTCTTACTGGCTTCTGAAGCTCAAAAGGAACAACAACAGAAAATGCAGAAAAACTGAAAATATCTCTTGAGTTATACAGGAGAGGTATTAATGCCTCCAAGTGACCAACCTTGCTGAGCTGGGCCAAGCTCAAAGTCATCATGTGCATAACCTTGCAACACTTTCACATCTTTCTTAAGCAGTAAAAAAAGTGCTGGACTTTCTCTGTTCCTATAACAAGAGCAGCAACATTTAGAATTTAAACTGCTTTGTTAGGCTTCACAGGAAGTTAAACATAATTTGCAAGCTTCAAAATAAAAAGCAAATTCACAGAAATGAAGTAAAAAAATCCAGCTGCCTATTTCATTGCTCAAGCTCTGGCCTAAATTTTGGTGTCATTTTATCCTGGTGTAGAGCCAGAGCAACTTATTTGAAATCAATAAAATTATTCTACATATTACATCCAGGTACCAAAGCAGGATTTGGTCTCTTTTCTCATTAGCAACCATCTGCAAATTTGCATTGGTTTTTCCAAAGAGGTTTCAATTATCCAAAAATTAATATATAGAAACTATTTCTCTTGGAAGAAAAAAGTAATTAAGCTTTGCTCTGATATCAGGTAAGTGTTATTTCCACAAAGCACTTAAAATAGAATCTCAACTCTAGTGACTTTTCTTTCCTTTGGCAGAACTTGCTGTTACAGTAGCATAAAAACAGAAGGAACTTAATTTGAAAAAATGGTGTCAAAGTCAGTAGGATCTCCTATTCTGTTAATTAGGAAAGGCTGTAAGACAATGTGCAAGGGAAAAGCACATTTGTCACACTGCATCACACAAATATGGGTAAAGACAATTGTAAGGCTGGTAAGGGTATTTCTGAAATGCTCACTGAGACAAAGTTTACTCTTAAAAATTCCTTTGAATTAGATATTGTGCACGTGATAGCTGGCAGTTAAAACCCTGCCTTACCTTTCAGAGTCTCCTGCAAACTCTGCGCACAGGCTGCCAGTTTGTGGCTGTCGTGGTTCTTCCCAGTGCTCTCTCCTGCAGAGGGTGGCAAGGCCAGGTGAAGGTTAACCACAGTCAGATCATTCATTCCAACCTGGGGGGGGGCAAGGAGGAGAAATCAATGCCGTACATGTGGGGAACGGAAGGTCACAATGCAGAAACACATGCCAGTTCCAAGTACTTTCAGTAGTAAATCTAGGGCAGTAGGACTCACACTGCTGTATATGTAGTGTGTCTTGGTGTGTCTCAGTGGGGGGAGGAAGAGGAGGGAGGCATTTGCATTTTGCAGCTTTGTTTGCAATAACCTTACACCCTCTCTGTTCTGGGGAAACTGGTTTGCATTAGCAAACAGTTTCCTTTCACCACAGCTGCAGAAAGAAGTCAGCTGCTTATGAAAATCAGTTTACGCAAAACCAGTTGTTAATAAGCTACAAATAATGTCATGGTCATTACAGGGGCTAATTACTACCGTCTTGTGAGCTTATCAAAGTGACTAACCAAGAAACTTAATGTACCTTGAAAAGAGCTGTTGGCTCCCTGCAATCTGCTGTTCACCTTCTGGGAATCATTTGGACCTATTTGCATGATCAATTAATTACTAATACTTTATTGATTAATAATTATTTGATCAATGCTTCTCTCAAAGCCTTACCAGAGATGTCAAGTTCCCTAAACTGGACCATTTCACCACAGCCTGTGTGGAGATGGGCTCTCTCTGCTCATATGTTTGCTCCAGCATATGCCGAAGAACTGGTTCCAAAAGTGATGATGTTCTTTTAGATAGGTTTAGCCGCTGTGAAAAAGCTTTAAAATGGAAACTCTGAAGTGTGACAGCAACATAAGATAGGCCAGCACAAGTCTCACTGGAGCACTGTGCTTTATACACACACATACTCATATATATGTAAAATCCATCTCCATTCTCCCTGTACTCATCCCTCTTTGTGGCACTGACAAGAATTCCAGCCCTGTGGCCTGGCTGGTACTGAGGGTCCACTGACCCTCAGGTTCTCAAACGCTCCCTTGCAGCAGGGTTTACTCCCACAGAAGCAAGGGAAAGGACTGACTGTGGTGAACTACCACATGTATTATGATGCATTAAGCACCTATCCATAATCAAGCCGTGGGACAGTAATGAGAAGAGTCAGAGGCTCATGCAAATTTTTAGCTGTCAGAAGGCTGTGTCTCTTTTCATCTTAGCCAAAATTTTTTAGTAAAAGTTCTGCAAGGAACTCTGGCAGTTACCTTGAAATGTGCAAGATACGGATGAGGATATGAGTGCCTCCCATTCCCATTAATCTGTGCAGCCTCCTGAGATGAGGCATATTTCAACTCAATGCCAGCTGTTGTATCCCAGAGGAAGCCAGAATATTCAACTCCCTGGAATTAAAGAATAAAGAGAAATGCCAGTCACAAGATGGTAAAAACAAAACATTCTGCCCAAATGTAGCCCCATATCTATCTATCTATCTATCTATCTATCTATCTATCTATCTATCTATCTATCTATCTATCTATCTATCTCTATATTATCTATGTCTATGTCTATATCCAGGCATGGTGCCTACTGAGAGCAAGAAGCCCAAGTGGCTGTTCCCAAGCATAAAGGAGAAACAGCTTCCTGGGCTATCAGTGGAAGATACAGAGGATAAGTAGAAAGGCTTCTTCAATTCATCCCTGGCAAAACTCCCATCAGATGTGGGAGGAATGCTTCCTGGGAAGCTCCACTGACTTCACTGAAGAGTGAGTGTGCCAAGCTGAAACACACATCACTCTGCTTACTCACAGCTCCTCACACCTGCACACTGGTTATTGGATGCCCAGTTAATTCCAGCACTGCTGCAGTAAAGCCAAGGATTCAATAATCTGTTTTATCTTTTACAGGCAGAGCATGTTCAGGACCACTGTAGGGGTGAAGGATGCTGCCTCTCATGTGTGTGTTTGGGCTGATGGGGTCCTCATTTCCTCCTACGCCAGGCAAGGCATTGGATACCTCTGAGCGTGGTCAGTAATGAGGTAGTTTGTTGCCCATATGATTAATTGTCTAACCATGAGTTTGGTGCCTTGAGATCTCACTGGGTGACTGCTAGGGCTTGCAGCAGATGACGCTGTGCACAGTTGTTCATTCTCCCCAGACTCGACACCATCTCACAGACTTTTTTCACCCACAAGCTAAAAATATCTGGGCCCCTTCAGTCTCTTGGGTAAAATCTGGTCTAGACCTCTCAGCCCTGTCAATTTCTCTGTCTCTTTTCCAACTTGGATGTTTCATGCTCAGCTCTCTGCTCCTTTCAGCTCTGCTTCTATGATCCTGAATGTTTTGGGGTTTTTTTATTACTTCATGAGGTGGAATTGGCATTTTCAGAAAGCTGTGTACACTGGTCACACCAGCAGCAGTATCTAATTTAAAGACTGTCAGCCTCTTCTATCACCCAGACACCATTTTCCTTGGCATCATTCAAACCCAATTCCCTTAGCAAATCACAGTTAAATCCATTGCAAGGAAGAGTATTCTCCATTTCAGCTGCAATAAAAGTGTTAACTGCTCCACTGACTTCCCAAAGCCTTGAAGGGATCAAGGCTGGTTCAAATTCTTTGGTAGTTCCTTTGATAACTCACCTTTAAAATACTGACAAAATTATTCCACCAGTAAGAAGCCTAAGATCTAAAAAGGAAAATATGTGGAAGAATAAAACTGCTGTCAACAGCTGTTGGCTATTTACAGGCTCCAGACTTTGTATCAAAATAGCTGTCAAAAGTAATTGCCTGGTTGAAATGCTCAGAATGTATGGAAGCACAAGCCGGAGGCACCATCCACAAATTTGTATTATTTAGCCCTACAGAGCATCTCAAAATCAGCTTGTGCCAAAGATGCTGTGTTCTTGGAGTTACACTGTATTACCTCACGGCATTTGTGTACACAGTGCTCAAACCTGACGGACTCACTAACTAGCCCCAGGAAAAGAATAGACTTTTTGGCTTAATGGAGGGTTTTCCAGCTCAGCCAGATTCCTGTTAAAGCAGCTAAAAGGAAGAGTTAAGTAGATAAAAATTCTGTTCTTAGTTTGGCTGCACACTTCTACCATAATTTTGGGAACCATTCATTCTTACATCCCTCTCCGTAAAACAAGGTGGATGATAATTTTTATTTTTTCACCCTATTGTCAAAGCTGCCATTGTTATCTTTGGAAGTACAGCTTAAGAAAGATCTGACTAAAGACTCTGAATTTAACATACAAATTCTGAGACATTTATTAATAATTCTGGGTAAAAAAAGGAAAAATGGAGGGAACAACTTTGACAACTTTGCACAACTATTTATAGTCAGTGTTTTAATGATCTGGCCTAACAAGAGATCCCAAAGGAAAACTCCAGCCATAAATAAAAATGTTCCGAAAGGCATTTACACTCTGCACTTCAATTAAGTGTGAATTGTTTTAAACTTCAGGCACATTCAGACACCCTGTATCTTTCCAGACCCTGTATGTCTGTCTAGCTAGAGTACAATCCTTGTGCTGTTCAGGTGGCGGGTTTTGGCTTGTTTGGGTTTATTTTTCCCTCATTCTTGGGTTTTTCTCAGATGGGCAATAAAAGGAGGTGCACCTGCAAAAACAGGAGTTCAAAACCAGTGAATGGTGCAACCTGATTTGGAAAAGCCAAAATAAAGAAATGTGCATTCTAAGCAGCATGGCTATAGGACACAAGTGCAGCCACATATTTAGTAACAACAGTGATCAGAATAGATCATTCTGGATCAATAGATTGTTGAAGACTGCCCCATGTACTGACAGGCACTACTTGTTGCATGATAGGTCTCAGATCTTGCTTCTACCCATAGTAACATCCACACTGCAATAACTGCACCATGAGAATGAGCCTGTTCAGCAATAACAGGCTGGAGCTCAAGGAGGACACTGCTCTGAAAACTCATTAGCACCCTTAAGGGTGAAAAAGAGAGATTTCCCTTGGGCGAAACTGCTTTTGAGCACTGTTAGTGCCCAGCCCAGTGCAGCTACACTTTGAACATGGTCAAGGGTACGCAGGTGCAGCTATCACTACCTTAATAAATCAGTATCTCCCTGCTGTAGATAGTTATACACACACACACACACACACATATATGTTCTCAGGGAATATATGCTGCAGGGAAAAGCACAGTGCAGCACGGTGCAGATTTAAAATGGAGTCCACAGCATTTTAAACACCTATGCCTATGCCGAAGACTCTGGGGAACACACAAGGTAAACTCTTCCAGGTGAGGCTGGCAGGCTGCAGGGCTCCTCTGCGGGCTCTTCACTTGCAGACTAGGAAAACGGGAAGCCCTTTCAAATGACAGCCAGTGCAGCACCAAGGAGCAAGCTCAGGTGACTTGCACAAAAAAATGTCAAAAGTACTCCAACCTGCCAGGGGAAAAAACTCAGGACTCTTACCTTGTCAAAATGCGTGGTTTTTCATGTATATACCTGTACTGCTTTTATCGACCTCCCTCAAATACATGCACACCAAATATACACACACACATCATCCTCCTTAGAAGTGTGCCACAATTCTTCCAAAATATAAATTGTACAGTCAAATTAAAAGCTATAGGAACAATTAGCTTGAAAAACAAGAAATGCAAACCTTGCCCAAAAGGATTTGCAAAAAGTGCTGCCTTAAACATTCAAAATATGTCCTTGGTTGGGGGGGGAAAAAGCAAAGCCAAAGTTCAGACTTAGGGATTAATGTACCTTGTGTAGCTGGCCTGAGGGTTTTTCGGAAACAACACCCTTCCAACATCCTCTAGGGCCCTTCCACTTGCGGATGTTTGGCAGCGTCGGCTGGTTCAGCTCCATACAAAACTAGAGAGAGAGAGGAAAGGGGAAAAAAATAACATCAGCTTGGAGGGTTTTTAAAAAATTGCAAAATAAAGTGTGTAGTAAAGCACTGGTAAAAGGCACAGAGGAGCACAGGCTGTGCTCTTCTGCCTTCCCTGAAGACTTGCAAAGGAGGTGGTCTGAGCCACATCCCAGGCTGACTTACCCCTGACTTGGAGATAAATATAAACTAAAATAACTCAGTGGAAATGCTGCAAGTAGAACATTTATCCCTCAGACCCTTTTATTTTCCTCCAGAGCTACTTGTTTGATTGGAAGGACGTTTCCTCTGTACTGCCTCTGAAGATGCTGGCTGCATCATATCCCACTCCTGCCTGGGGCTTCACAAAGAGCTGCCAAATCCTCCTGAAGACAGGAGGCCTCCATAGCATGGCTGGCCCCACTCCAACAACACAGCCACCGGCATGACATGAGAGGAAGGGTGTAGGCCAAGCTCAATAACTGGAGTTTCGGGGTTAAGGCTCCTCTGACTTTACGCCAGGGGCATGTGCTTGATTTCCTCCATGCATGAAGGAAGCAGCTGCGCACTTGCAGGCAATTCTAGCAAGCTTTCTCTTGCTTCCCAGAGGTGCTCATCTTCCTGGTCACTGCTGAACAGCCACAGCACTTGGACACCATTACATGTTCAAGCACATGGTCAGAGCTGGAGAGGCTACATCCTAATGCCCAGCAGATCAGAGATACCAGAACTGTGGACACTGTGGAGAGCCCCCAAGTCTTCCTGTGTAACATCTTGAGACTGAAATAAAAGTAAATAAATAAATAATAAAAGCCACCCTGAAAAATCTGGGATCTGAAAGTCCTTGGTTCAGACAATATGGAATACTTTTTTTCAGGGGTTTCAAAACTAGGCTCAACAGGAGCTAGAGTCATTTGTAAGGCTGATGTTGGCTCCAGGCAGGCTCTGGCTGAAAGCTGGCAAAGTTGGATGCCCTGGCTGCGGCACAGGTTCTGGCTGCAGGGAAAGGGGCTAGTAAAAAGTCAGCCCTGTGAAAGAGCAACAGAGACTTCTACCATACAACATCTTGTTCTGATATTGGAGAAACTGCGTTGAAGTGCAGAAGCTTTCACAGTGAAGAAGTATCCTCAGACAAAATCTTGGATCCAGAACAACCCTCGAGATCAAGCAGCAATTTAACAAAGGATCTTCAAGGCAAACAATAACTTCATGTGCACAGTGACTCTCTGCAGTGGGACATGCCTAACACAGTTTGAAGAGCTACAGAGCTATACAGATATAAGTATTTCCTACATGGATATGAGTAAAATGACGGAATAGTTATTTTCATGTTTATCTTTTGATTCAGAAATCAAAACCAAAACGACTCCCTTGTCTGCAAGTTCAGCATCCTGAAGGCTGAAGATATAAGCAGCCTGATTCTCAGACACACTCGGTCTCAGAAGACCGAGAGCCGCTTTGGTTGCACACCCAAGTGAAAACCCTTGGCACAGCTTTTAAAACAGTTTTCTGATGTGCAGAGGTTGGCTGGAGCTTCTTATTCAAGATGCCACATTAACATATGTTGTGGCCCATTATGTACCTTCAGGCAGTGCCGGGGCTGGGCTGATTTATGCAACTCAGAGGCAGGTAGGGTGTTTGCACAGCCTGGGAACACAGCTCTGCTCTCAGCTGATCGCCAGGTGCTACCCCAGCTAATACAATACATCATGGCAGTAATAATTACTCACTTCTGATAGCATTCTGACGTCTTCAAACAGAGTGGAGTTGGTCAATAAGTTCTCTAAGACTTAAATAACTTAAATCAGAAAAACAAAAATACTTTTGAAATTAGGAGCTTAAATGTAACCTGACAAAATACTTATCTCTAGGCTGCAGCTGCCTAGAAAGTCCAGCCAGCACAAAGCATATGACAAGATTGAATAAGTCCTACAGAAACTAACACTTTATTAAAAAGAGCATCTGCAGTCTACTAGTTTGAATAGTTTGTTTCCTTCAAATTGATTTTTTTTAGGGCTTTGATTTGACTTCGTGCAAGCAAAAAGACAACAAATAAGATGATACAGTTTGCTCTGGAAAAAAGAGCCCATTCTGAGTATGGCTGCAGCCATGGAGAACTTGGCCTACAGCAGCTGATTTCAATCTGTACTCATTTTCCAAGGCTTACAGGTACACATATTTTGAAGCTGTGACAACATTCTTGCTGAGGGCATGTTTTTTTGCTAAAGAGAGAATGGCATTTTTCAAATCATGTTTTGCCCACAAAACCCAACATCAACCAACATTATGCTGCTCATGCAGCAAAAATATACAGACAAGCTCCTAGTCCACACTGAGAATGAAAAAAAAAAACTTTCCTCTTTTGCAAATCTAAGTTAGAATTATGCCAACCCCTTTAAGAGGCAATTCTTCAAGTGGTAAAGAAAATTAAAATCTCAGTCAATCAAAAAAATCTTCCTAAGGAAAAATACTTCTAGTGTTGTTTTTCTCTAGAGCCTTTCAGGCAAGTTTCAGTCTCCTGAAATTCAACCAGTTTGTTCATTATAACCTACACATACCAAGTCAAAGCTGACATACACACACTGTGAGACCAACAGCACCACAGCTTACTTACACAGATGCCCTGTGGTCTTTCTCTTCCAGCTGGGTGCTGGTTTTTGTGGGATAGGCAGTGCTATCAGAGAGCAGGAACACGGCAGCACCAGGCTCCAAGGCATACTCTAAACAAAAGAGTAGCCTGTGATCAACCTCCTTGTGTCAGGCGACTACTAGCCCATTGGATTCAATGATCTTAAAGGTCTTCTCCAACCAAAATAAGTCTACAACTCTATGATTGTCCCCATCTGGCATGCAAAGCACCAATAAGAGCCACTCTCCCAGGAACAAGCCCTGTTGCATTTGCTGATCAGCAACACGTCGTTTTCCCAAGAAGGAAGGATCCAAAGATGCAAATTGCTCTTTGTCCACTTGATAAAGTGCTGGCACCTGTCCCTCCCTGCCTGTCCAGAAGCAGAGAGAGGTACTTACGGCTGACTTTGGAAAAGAACATAGGGAAGCTGGAAGAAACTGGAGAAATGCACATTTGAGGAGCAAGGGGTCTTGGACTAATTTTAGGAGCAGGGAAAGAAATATATACTGGGCTGGCACATGCTGGAGACCATAAGGCACTTAGAGTCTTCCTAACACACCTATCTGCCTCCCCAGAGCACTCCAAGAACATCTAATTTGTGCATTAAGTTTGATTTGTTCCAGTGCAGTAACTTTGCCTACTAGTAGAGCTGCCAGCAAGTGCTCTGCTGTTCTTCACACAAGCAGCTCCCACCACCTCTTCTTCAGGATGCCCTGGTTACTCTGTGTTTTATTTTGGGGGTGCTATTCGTGCAGCCAACCCCATTTGTGCAGCAGGGTCATCCTTCCCAGATGATGACACCACTCCATGCTGAACATCTTGGCCTGCTAAGAGTTATTCCTGTAATGCCAGCTCTGGGGACCACTCTGAGCCAGAAACCTCCCCTACGGTGAGCAACTTTTGCTCAAAAAGAAGATGGGCTACTCCTATACCCCAAGGAGACAAAATGTAACACAAGGAAAATAATGCCTTAGGGTTTAATAAATGACACATTTCTTATTAGCCAGGGATCGCTCTTTGGAGGTTACCTTTATTTCAGACCTGGAGTCAGAGCAGAGGCTGTGAGAAGGGTAAGGGGAGAAACAGCAGTGAAAAGGAGATTGCAGGGCGAGCTTGTTGTTGTTGCATGGCAAATCTATCATTACCTGAACTTCAGAAAGGCATTCAAAACAATTAAATATCCATTAAAGTTAACTACCACAGAGGCTGCCAGGACAAAAGGGCACTGCAGTTGAGGTAAACAACTACTTGCTTCATCAAAGAAAAGGTGATTTTGGTTCCTCTTAATGGAAAAGAGAGATGAGAACGATAGAATAAATTTTCCCTTTCTAGATGTCACATATGCACAGTTACTTTTAATAGGCACTAGAGGGAGCAGCTTTAATGAGTACAAGAGATAAGTAAGAAACTATCAATGTCTTATAATTTCAGCTATGTGTAGGTGGCATATTAGCAAAGATTTGTCTTTCCATGGGGAAAGACACTTGCAGTTTGAGGTAAGGGCTGTTTTGTGCTATGGAGTGTCTCCAAGTATGATGGATTTGGTGCATCGAGGAAGGGTAAACAGAAGGCTCACAACTCCCTCCAATAAAAATCCCATCCTGAAATATGATCTAATATATTCCTGATAGAGGATACAACAAAATTGACAGTGGCTTCATGAGACCATCTGGCAATGCTCATTTTTGATCCATCTTTTAATACATACTTGAGTTCCCTGCTCTATCCTTATGTACCATATAAATTAAAAATTAAATGCACATTATCCTTTCTTTATTCCTCCAACTGGACTGTACTTTTATTTCTAATTGAAAAAGCAGACTTGAACACCTGTAATCGAAATCTAATCTACCACAGGACACAGTGACAGTTGGCTCACCCTAATGAAGCCTGACCCAGAAAGCCAGGAGCAGAAGCATTACAAATATTTCCAAGAACCTGAAACTACCAACTTTGGTTTTCAAGCAAACTTTCTGATTTGACTTCCAGAAGATAAGTGTTTTGTTAGACCAAGTTTCTGAGGAGGAAAAGCAGAGTTGAGGAGTGAAAAGACTTGTGTGTGCTGTAGTTTATTGTACTGGCTATTGAGGTAGACATAGGGAAAGATGAGAGGCTTTGGGACAGCTGTCCTGGTGCAGGCACACGTGACAGCACAAGGCAAGTCAAGGGGAGAGCAAAGACACAGCAGGGCCAGGATGCTCAGCACACTTCTGCGGCTGGGTAACACTGAATGCACCTCCCACAGGCTGGAGCAACTCAGGAAGAGGACACAGAGGAGCATCAGGTGTTTCAGTGACATCTGGATTCTGCTATAACCAAATGTAACAGCACAGAAGGAAGCATTATTGTTATTAAAGCCTGAAACTGAGACTCATC